TTTTCCGTAAGTTTCCGTAAGTTTCTGGTAAGTTTCCGTAAGTTTCCGTAAATTTTCCGTAAGTTTCCCGTAAGTTTCCCGTAAGTTTCCCGTAAGTTTCCTGTAAGTTTCCGTAAGTTTCCTGTAAGTTTCCCGTAAGTTTCTGTAAGTTTCTGGAGTTTGTGGAGTTCTGGGGGCTAGGCGTAGGCTCCGTAAGTTTCAGGTAATCTGGCCCCTCAAAATGCAGCAGTTTTGACGTAGCGGGATTTCTGGGTACCTCAAATTTACAACGTTTCGACGTAGCGGCGCGTAAGTTAAAAATTCCACAGAGAGGGCCTAACGCAATGCTAGCAAGCAAGAGCAGCACTCCAGACGCATTTGGGTTCAGAAGTTGGGGCACTGTGGCGCCACTACATCGGCATCATGTCTTTCGAGGCAGGAAAAGATTTCAGATAACATTGGCTTGCACAAAATGACTGGTGCAAGGATGGAGGCAATGCGTATGTGACGCCCAGCCCTCGCCGCTCTCGAGCCTGAACCTTACACAGACCTCTAGTGTTGCAGAGTGAGGCTAACCTGCTCTGCTGCAGGACACCCCTACGCCGAGTTCTAGAAGGAGTGGCTCAGCTCCTCCCAGCGCGCCCAGTGAACTCCGGGCTCGTTTGCTGGAACCTTACAATCCCCATGTTTGAACAGCATGCAGAAGTGCAAGCTTTAGCTGCCATTTGTTAATGAATGCGCTAGATGTTTCCATGCGTGATACGGCTGCATGTTTGCATGTCAGCGCATTGCGCTTCTATACTTCAAGTTGAGGATTCCCTGTTGATAGTGGGGTCCTGAACATAGAGCATCCTTGAGGACCTCTAATTCTGCAAATGCCGATAGGGTATAGGGCCGCATATAGGTATATATAGGGCTTAGAATTTAAGGTTTAAGGTTTTTGCCGGTGGCATGCGCAAGTCGGGTCTATGACGAATAACAGAACTTGCCGTCTTTGACCGGAAACCCTGTCAACTGAATCTGAGGTGGTACTAGGAAGATATGAAGGCTGTGTACGGCGCAAGTGGGGGGGGAAAGTGCCTACCTGAATTTCTTGACACATACACACCACGTAGTTCCTTGTACCCTAAAATTCATGATTTTCCCTGCAGAATATAGCCAACGCAGAGCTCGCTCCATGCAACCACGGTCTTGCTACAAAGCGCCCAGCGGATAAAAATCACAAACCCAAAGAAACTTATAATAGGGGTTAACTCACCTGTACAGTCATAGAGTTTTCCGAGCTTACGTTTCAGGGACTGGGGCTTGCCGGAATGTGCTCAGATCATTCGCCATAATGTTGTATTTTCGTACTCCCCGGGCCATTGAAAACGTACCCTTAACCTCAGATCCTTCCCCATGAGCCCCAGTACCCTCAAATCCCACGCCTTATTCGGCCCATGGTTCGACTGTGTAGAGCCCTTTCTTTAACTGTTTTTGCGCGCCCTTAAACCCAAAACCCTAGCCCTAAACTAACCCTAAACCCCTAAACTAAACCCTAAACCCTGTTGTAACATGGATCATGAACACGCTGGCAAGGTCGTTCGCCTCTTCTTCTTTTACGGCCCCTTCCGTGGCTTCTTTGGACTACGTCCCCAGCCCTGGCTCCGCTGCAAGCACTCAGGTACCTTCCCCGGCGAACGCTCTGGCTACCTGCAAGCCAGAGCCCGAGCTCACGAGGGTCAAGCCGACACGGGCTCCGGTGAGAGCTTCCCCGCCTTCCTCGGAAGGTGGAGCGGCTTGCAAAGTTGCACCCCTTGCCCACAGCCCTGCAACGTGTGCCAAAGTGGAGCACGCCCCGGCGAAGGGTAAAGGTGTTGGTTCCAGCCCGGCCGTGAAGACGGTGCCTCCTTTGCTGACGACGCCTCCTGCGCGAAAGCCTGGCCACGCAAAGGTCGAGAACAAGGACTTGGAAGACGTGTATATAATGCTTGCGTCTATTGCGCCATTCATCTCGCAACTTTAATCATTTTTCATGTTTTCTGCGCAGGACGGGAGTGATGGGAACTCGCGTTCGGAGGGCAAGACTTTGACTGCCAGCGCATGCAAAAGCTGTCCCCCAACACCCACCAAGGAGGAGAAGAACCCAACTGCAGCTGCTAAGCGCCCAGCTGACCTCCCACCAGGTGCCACCCCCAGTCCCAAACCTTCTAAGAAGCAGTGCTCTGGACTGGCCCTGCCGTCTGCGAAGGCTCTGGAAAACTCAGAGCAGCTTGCGCCTGCAGCCCACCCTGTCAAGACTCCTGCCCCCGCCGCAGCAGTCTCAGAGCTTGCAGTCCCTGCAAAGAAGCCTGCTGCCCCGGCTACCGCCGCTGTCCCTCTCCAGGTGAACCAGCTTGCTTTTCTGGGACCCTCAGACCTTGCAGTTCCTGCAAAGAAGTCTGCTGCCCCTGCTCCCCTTGCTGCCCTTCCCGGAGCCCTTCCCCCGCCCGAGAAGGCTTCTGAGCCGACCCCAGGCAAGGTTACTGCCACCCCTACGCCTCCAACTGGCCCTGCCTCGTCTGCAGAGACAAACCAGACAGCTGAAGGCAGTCTGAAGCTAACCGTTGCGCCCGGAGTGACTGGGCAAAATAATGCATGCACATTTTTTTTTTGACGCCACGCGTACACGGCACTCATGTTGTGTTATATGTAGAGCAGGCTGTGCCCATTGCCCCAACTGATGGGAAGCAGCGACAATCTCATTATGCTTGTTTCCGGAGGCATGTAGTCCAGCGCTGCAGAGTGAGCGCTTTCACGTCATGTGACCAACTCCAAGCAAGCACGCATGAAGAATGCGCTTGCAGGGCGATTACGGGCGAGAACGTTGTCGACACTGTGCCTGAGGAGTTGAAGGACTTGTGGCTGAACGCGTGCAAGAGCGGCAGTCGGCAAGTGAAGACGGAGTTGTTTCAAAAGTGGCTCAGCGCGGGCGGCGACTGGGGCAAGTGTGGAACTCATTTTTGCCACGTCATGTCGTTTGTTCTGCGTACTGCGCATATGTGAGGCTTTACATCTCCCGCACAGTCAGCAGATCCGAGAAAGAGCTGGGCAAGCACAAGTACGGCCGCTAGCGCCAAATCGCCAAAACATCTAGCTTCAGCGCATAAGTGTTGCCGAACTTGCTTGACACGTGCACATATTTTTTCTTGATCAGGATGGAGGACCCGCGCACAGTTGATCCAAATGCACAACGGAGATTACACGGCAGTTGACCAGTTGATCTCCCGGAAGCGTGCTGCCGGTCATTTCCGAGAACATCCGGATTTCCCCGGCAATCCGGATTACGTGCTCTACTACGTTGCTGAGCTTGGTCCATGTGAAGTTTGTGTTGTTGCGTGCATGTTTTTGGTTGCGCTTTCGTTCTTGAATGACCCAAGGTGACCATCGACCTCTCCCACTCCCACATCGAGGAGTCCGAAGATCGAATGCAGATCCAGCTGTCCGGAGGGGCTTCCTCGAGCTCTGACGCAGCGCGTGCGCTTGGTGCAGGTGCAGATACGTTGTTTGCTGGCTCGTCTATGCAGCCTGGTGTTCCAGCGGTTATGCCGGAGAGCAGTGCAGGGAAGGGCGCCGGGAAGGGTGGCAAGGGTAAAGGGGGAGGTAAGGGGGGTCAGGGCAAGTCTGGGAAGAAGGACCCTGAGCCGCGCCTCGCCTCAATTTCGACATGCATGGCAGGTAGCAAGCAATTGCCTATATAGCGACAACTGATTCATGCAACGCCCAGGCTTCCCGATGACCCTCGCAAAAGCGGCCCGATTGTGATCCCGAAGCTTTTTGCTGACTTGCAGCAAGCAAAGATGTGGCCTCTCCTCTTGGCATCCATGAAGCACCAAGACAAGCTCAGCAACTTGCTTCGGCAATTTGAACAGGAACCTCCTTTTCGGTTCAGGGTTTAGGTGTTTAGGATTTAGGGTTTAGTGTAGCTGGGCAGCCACATTTTGACGAAATTTTAGCGCTATGAGCGCTTAATAAGGGCATGATGTTTTGGTGGCTGTTGCCGTTGGCTTTTAAGGTCAGCCCAAGATTTTGACGTTCAAGCTGAGCTATTGCAAGTTGACACAGTTCATGTGATAGCACGCGAGCTAGACGCATACTCCTTTTCTAGCTAAGTCAACCCCATTTTTTTAGCATAGGAGCTCAACTGTTGGAACTGTACACAGCTTAGTTTGGTTTTTTAAATTGAACCCTTTCCTAGCAATGATGGCACGCAGAAACATTCAAATTTCAGCTGCACATTGCTACAAACGAGCCCAGGTGACACGCTCAAGGCACACATCGAGGAGTTGGAGCAATCCTTCGTTCAGCTGAAGCGCTATCAGAAGGAGGCCAACGCATAATTTTAATTGGTTGCTCCTAGATTACGTCTATGAATTTGAATATATAATGGGTTATATACTATAGGTTCAGGCTTTATACGGTTTCGGGATTAGGGAGGGATTGGGCATGTAAACTCAGCGCAGCAACTCTGTGAATTAGCCCTGCATCCGCAGGATCCGCAGACCGTCAATTGCAATGGCTATCAAGCTGCGGTGCAGCTGGCGTTGGATCGCATGACGTTGTACAAGGAAGACGCTGACAGCGCCCAGAAGCTGACAAAGGACAAGGGTGGGCGCAAGAGGAAGGTGGGGAACAGAGTCGGGCATGTTTCACAGCACCTAGCTCATTTGTTTCCACATGGCGCATGAGGCAGGCGCGGATGAAGAGTCAGTCAACGAGGCTGAGAAGTGACGCGAACGCGCACGATCCTGCGCATGAACCTCAATGCGCCTTGCAAAGGACACATGTGTGCCGAGCCATTCGTACTCAGCAATATAGGGTTGAATAAGTGCAGTACCTGCGCAGCAACTGTGTGGCTGTGCACATATGTGCAATTACGAGTGCTGGGGAAAGCCTATGGGATCAATGATCCTTTGTGTTTGTGGACGCAAGGGCTTGAAAAGTGCAATTGCCTCTGATTTAAGTCCATGCCTGCATGTGGCAATGAGTGGCCATATTGAAGTTTGTATTCCCACGCAGACGCCGAGCTGGCCAGACTTACGGAGAACATTTCGGATGATGAGGCCAGACCTTTCGAGTGCATGAGTGCGGTCTCTTTTGCATGTTCATCATTCCATGCATTTCACGAACAGTACTTCATGGATTGATCATTGCAGCGCATGTGCGCTAGAACTGGTTGAAAGTTGCACTTGCGGGCCAGGTTGAAATTTTGCCGGCTACCAAGCGGAAAGCTGAGCAACATAGCTCCAGAGGCCGCGGTGCGCGATCAAGAGCTTATGGGTTGTGCATGGAATCTGTTCTCACGCAGGTGCTGTGGCTGCATCGTCGTCATCAACGCTGCGAGCTGTTCGGGAGGAGCATCGGCCCTTGAAGAGACAGGCTGCGCGAAACCCCCTTTGTAAACCCCAAACCCCAAACACTAAACCTCAAACCCTAAACCTTATAAACCCTATATAAGCCCTAAACCATCCTAAACCCTAAGCCCTGCAACCAAATGTAATGAAGCTATGATTGCATGGCACGTTAATTTGCGGAGGCTGTAAATGCCGACTTGGCTGATATCCTAGTGGCAGACTTCGTCGAGGGAAATACTCCAGCCATCAAAGCAGCTTGTCTGCCTGCTGTGGAACGGCATCGTCCTATAGTTTGGGGCTTGGGGTTTATGGCGTAGGGTTTAGGGTGTAAGGCTTTAAGCTTTATGGTTATAAGGTTTAAGATGATCCATTTTTTTAAGATAGTGTCGCATGCTACGTTATACTCCCCAATCCAACCATATCTATCCCACACAAATTCCAAAAAAAACACATTCGACAAATATAAGTAGCTACAGGTACAGCAAATTGCGGCTGCCGCAATTCAACATGCAGCCGCTTGCGGGGGACAGACGCCAGCCCAATCGATCCTAGCCCGCATAGGCAAAATTGCAACTTCTGGGAAACATCCTTCTAATGCAGAGCGTGACCTTCACCACATCTTGAAGGACATCCAGCTCAAGATTCCCATCGAGTGGGTGAATGTACGCTTCGTGACACCCAGTACAGCAGAGGTCAAAACTGTAAAGTTTCCTTGTATCTTTCCAGATGCTTTGGCGTTGGAACTATGGCGGATGGGCGAACCTTATTTCCGGTACTTTTTCCTTCGTAATCAAGATGCCAGCAGCCTGTGGAAGCATGTGGAGCACACTTCCTGGGGTTCGCAAATGATTGCAAACGCCCGTGGAGATCTGTCTAAGTTGATCCCCATCACGTGCTACGGAGACGAAATTTACACGTACAAGAACAGTGAGTGCGGGGTGGTGGCTGTCCTTGCGTGGGCGACGGACTACCTGACTGCAGAGAGCGGCCCCTTAGAGCGGTACTTTACTATCGCTACCTACGCGCAATACCTGGAGTGCGATGATACATGGCCAGATTTGAGCAAAGAAGTGGCCGCCCGATTCCGGGCTTTGGTACAAAAAACAGATTGGCCATGGTCTGACAAAGGGTATCAGTTTACCTTCAGCTCTGTCACTGGTGACCTTAAATGGGTGAAGGAGCGCTTTCACCTACATGACTACAACGCCAATGCGTTCTGTTCATATTGCAACGTGGTCAAACGCGATCCAGCCGGGCGAATCGAGCACACCCTCAGCGACTTTCGACCTGAAGCTGCGCACATGCAGACGCGCATCACACACGAAGATTACATCCGAACAAGCTCTCCAGAGAATCGAGCCTTTTCGAAAGTATGCTGATGGCGTGGGAAATGTGTATCACTTTTGAATTTTCAAGGTGTAATGGGACCCCATTTAACCCGTCCGATACATCCCTAACTTGCAGGGCGCCAGATTGAGCTTCTTTTACGCATGCAACGCAGTCAATCGTGGTTTAGGGCGTATTAAATATAACAGTCATTTTGTAAACCCTTACAAACCCTAAACCCTACCAGCCTAGGACATGTTTTCTTCACGATTCCTGGGTTTCGCTACGACCGCGTGCTTCATGATCCTCTACACAGTCAGCTGCTGGGAACGGGAAAGGTCACCAACGGAATCTTGGGTGGTAAACTACTGCTTTCCAAATTTTCTGTCCGAATAAAGAAAAAGAACCCATGCGTATGAGCTACAGTCTTGAACTCCTTAAAGGTGGTCATAGAGGATGATATAGGGGACTGAAGTTTATTCTAAAAGGGATAGTAGGAGTTTAGACTATAGCTCATGCCTTCAGATGGTAGTAGGCCCGAAGCATGTAAAAAACCCACGCATGCGTGCAGCGCATATGCGCTTCAAAATGTAACACGCCCCATGCAAACAAGGTATATGCCAGGCATTCACGTTGCACGTGTATGCATTCTACATTATACTCGGAATTCTCCAAACTTTTTTTTCGACGTCTAATTTGCCAACCCAAGGTTCAATGTTGACATATCTCTGCGAACGCGGATGGTTCGGAGAGCTGGCAGGGTCCTATGAGCAGGCCCTTGGCTCACTGCTGAACACGGCGTTCAAAGCGTTTGCAACTTGGAACCGGCAGCAAACCAAACCTGTCACCCATCCTCGCTTCACTCCAGCTAGGCTATGCAGAAAGGGGCGTACGTTTTTTCCTTCGCTGAACGCCAAAGGCGCAGCCTCGAAGGCACTTTCGTACTGGTTGGCGGACGCTGCAACACACTTCGCATCCCAACCGCAAGCAACGAATTTGGACAAGGAGTGCGCGAAGTGTATGGTAACCTACGCAGAGATGTTGAAGGTGATTGACGCTTCCCCGCTTCTGTTGGACGAGGCGACGGCTCGGCGAATGTATCACTTGGGAATGATCCATTTGCAAACGTACAGCAGCCTACGGCACAAATCGTCCAGGACGTTGGGTGCCCACTCAGCCAACAGGAACTGCTGGCTGCTCCTGCCCAAGCATCATCATATGCTCCACATGCTGACGGACACAATCCTCCGTGATCGCTTGAACCCGCGATACCAAACACTTTTTTGCGCAGAATCCTTTGTAGGAGCTATTGGGCGCATGGCCAAAGCATGCCACCGCGCAAGCCTCCCAAGGAGGCTGCTGCAGCGCTACAAGATTCGCTTTGGGATGATGATGCGTGGACTGGGGCCTTGATGCGACAATTCACTTAAGCAGGTGGACGGTAGGTTTTAAAGACCCGCGCACTCGTGTGAACCTCGAATGGAAGTGACACGTGTCTGATGTTTTTGTTGTATGCGTGTAGCAGTTTTGGCTGCATAGTATAGGGTTTAGGGTCGTACTTGAAGGGGTGTCAGTCGCAAGAGATCTTTATAACCTCCCGCCATCCACGCATGACCCGGGGGCTCACGCATGTTAGCTGCATGTTGAGGTTTACAATTTAGGGTTCCTCTCCTCCCTATATATAACCTATAGGGTTGCAAAAACACTATGAAATATGGAGACCCAAAAAGGAAGCCCAAAAAGGTTAAAGTTTTTATTGGCTATGTAAGGTTTTGAGGGGAAGCCCAAAATTGTTAAAGTTCTTCTTATGGGCCTAACCCCTAAACCCTGAAGCCTAAACCTTACTATGTATGCAAAGCATAGGCAAGTCCGCGTATGTCATATGAAATGCTGAAAATCAGCATGCGAGTGCACATGAATTTTCTCCGGATGTTTGGTACCTGCGCCGCATGTGCCTTGAAAAATGGAGAAGGCGTTTGTGAGAGCCAGATTTACATGTAGTCCTGTGAGTGTGTCAGCATACGAACCCCCGGCCCACAAGAGAAGGCGTTTGTGAGAGCCAGTCCTGTGAGTGTGTCAGCATACAAACCCCCCACAAGGTATAGTTGGCCCCCTGGGCCCCTGGAACATGGAATGTGCACGTGCCGAAGCCTTAACCACGTGCCCAAGCAATCCAGACCCTCTGGGAACTCTCTTCTTACATTCCCGGCCTGAACAATGAGTTTCTCGGTGTCCTGCAGATGAAGGTGCAGATACCCATGCACCGGTCCATGAGATAGGCTGGGGAATGCGAATGAGCTGAATCATGCACCGCACATTTCAGACGTCTGACGGCTGCAGTCGCAGCATTTTTCCCCAGGGGCGCATTGTCCGAACCCTTGCGGAGGCCCTATGGTGGATACTCGAAATCCTGCATGACCCTAAGCACCCTAAACTTTGGGAAGTATGGTATTATGGTATAGTAAGGTCACGCAGGAGTTTTTTATCAACCGTATCTGTCACTCTGAGAGGGCGGCCTCGATCTATCTTATCTCATCAATGTCACCCTCACTAATTTGTGCTTGCTATCCGCATACTTGTTCTTTCATCCAGAGCATTGTGCACAAGCTTCTGAGCAAGAAGCAATTGCTGGATGACATTCAGGCAGCTCTTGCATACAATCAAAAGAGAAGCCACTCTTCTTTGTATGGTCCAATTAAAACATACCCGTGACTGCAACATGAGATGGGGCATGTGACTACAAGGCTATGGGTGGCAATTTCCGCATCAAACCAAGTGCACAACGTGACATGCCTCCCAGCCCTTGTGACCTCATAATTTTCCCTGCTGGGATTGTATTTGTTCGTGCTCAAGCGCTGGGTTGGAAACATGACACAGCTGTTGCAAGTAGTACGTCTATGACCGACACCATTTGGGGCATGGATGTCTGCGGTTATGCGGGGCCAGCTGCAATTGTCCATTTCAGCTTGCTAAAGCTCGAAGAAGGTCCTTCTTGCCCTGCTCAATGACGGGTTGCATCTTTGTAAGGTCCACCTGAAGCACATGACCTAGATCTTGAGTCTAGCTGAACAGGCTGAGCGGATTCCGTTTTCGTTTTAGGAGTCAAGTGCAAGGGCACCATGCGATGAGAAGTGTTGTCAACAGAAGGTTGGACAGGTGCTTAGCCGTAGAAGCCTACCTGTTATCGCAAGGAAGCTGCAAGTATCCTTCGGCCCTGCGTGGTGCCCTGAAACTTCCTTGCACCACTGCTTCACACAAAACACTACAATGCCTTCAGCTTGTCTACCACAGTTTCCGTCTCCTTCAGTCGCTGGGCACCCACCTGGCCAACTTGAACATGAGACCGCCAAATGACTCAAAGCGTGCCAGGCTGCATCATGGTTCAAGCTGGCTGGAAACTCGTGCCGAGCCCAGTACGTACTGCCTTCCAAGCTCGGAATGCTAAGATCCATACATGTCACCCTGCAGATTCAAGAATTTCCAAGCCGGGGTCGCTCGGTAGCGATTCAGCTTCGTGTCAAGCTGACCTTTCTTCATCCCGAGCCTCGAGTGGCATTTCTCAACACCAGGGCGCCTGCTGTGCCCATGCAAACACTACCTTCCTTCGCGATCATGCTTGAGAAGTGGCACGCTCAGTCTCGGGGGCTGCTGCTAGTTCTGTGCATTTCTGTGCTGTCTCCACAGTACTTTTGGGGCTCGGACTAAGTCAACTTGCTTGTTTCTATTCCTGTTTGGAAACAACAGAACTTTCTCAAATGGCGTAAAATCGCAGGTTGCTCTTCTGAGATTTGTCATATATTCAAGCACAGAAGCAGGTCTGTGAAAAGCTTGATGAGCTCCAAGTATGAGGTCGGAGTCATATACCTGCGGTGCCATGGCTGTGCAACAGCCATGTGAGTGGAGCCATGGAGCATGTGCGAGTAATGCATGGAGAAGAAGGGTCTACTTCCACCCTGCAGGAACTCTTCCAGGGCACGTTTTCCGTCGAAGCTCGTCGAAGAATCTGTCTGCCGCCTCACCAGATGCTTAGGTCGAGTCTTGTTTTGGCGCCGTCTTCTGGTTTGAATACATGCGGAAACAATGCAACGCATTGTGTGAATCTGAAACTCTTCGCAAGTTGACAGGTCATCCTGAGTCTACGATGGACCAGCAAGTCAGCCTCCGAAGCTGATGCGTGGATAACCTCAGACAGTACCCACGCTGTCCAAGCACTAAGGAAGCTTTTCGGGGCCTTCAAGCTCCAGCGTGGGCAAAAATGGCTTCACACTCTGCAGGGCCTGCTTCGAGAACCTTCAAAATAGTAGTTTCCCAAAATAGGGGGACCCCAATATAGACCCCAAAATACTAAGATCTTCAGTACTGGGACCCCCAAAATGGTACCCCTAATTTTGGGAAACCTCCCAAAATAGTTCAGCCTCGTCGTGCCAAGGCACGCAGGAGATCTGGGATAGAGCAGGGATACTCGTATCCAGCTCAAGCTCTTTGGGCGCCTGAACGTAATACCTGCAGAACAGGATGCGAATCTCGTAAACTCTGTTCAAGCATTCTTCGGGGCATAGTTTGATCTTCAAATCTTTTGCCACAGCAGGGCGGTTGGGTTGAGATGCTGCCTGCGGCTCCGAAAACAAAAACAAACGACAGGTTTCAACATCAGAGGCTAGAAAGGCTTGTCAGTGGTACTGATGTGCAACCGAGGACATTGCCCATGTTGGGGTCTCCATAAGCACACGTCGCTCAAAATAGTGCGCAACTGCAGTCAAAGAGCAGCAGAAGAGAATGCACTTTGAATTAATGACCCTGGCAGTCTCATGAGTGGAAATCATTCAGCAACATGTCTTGCAAGGCCTCTCTGCGACGGAGATGAGCGCATCCTCCGACCAATGACATGCTTGCCCGAACACAAAATAAATGAGGCTTCCAACCCTGAAAATGATTTGACATCTCTCTGCAGGCTTGGGCCGCCCTATAACCAGACTTCGAGGCAAGCATCCTCGGGCCATGGATCGTACCAGTCTACCGTGGCACAGTTGATCAACGAAGGGAACCTTGGAGACGCCAGGCACACGCGCAACGCGTTGCTGTTCCTCTGTCTAGTTCTCTCTCAAAACAAGAAGCTCACAGGTGGCCCTCTTGCAGGGGCAGCTGCTACTTGAAAGTTCAGAGTTTGCAAGTTCAAGATTCTTCGAAACTCAGTTTGCAAGCATGCTCGCCCTTCTGGCGTGGAATCACTGCCCATTTAAGTCAGCAACCTAGAGTTGATTCGAGCGCGAATGATTGATGCCGGTTGCAAGGGATTTTAGGTGCCCGTGAAACTGCACACTACAGTTCCGAACTCTCTGTAAGCGAACGAGTTCAAGTCTTTCGCTCACTCTCCTCAGCTTCCCGCTGTCGGCAACGTGCACGGAAGCCCTCGCCCACAGGAGAAAACCTTAAGCACCGGGCGGGTGGGTGAATGCAACAGCAATCTGATTGGGTCTACCTTACATTTCACATTCTGTGAGCTGTGTCAACACTGGTACAGCAAAAGGCATAACTCCGAGCTTTTTGTATCCTCCCGATCTGTCTCCAGGCCAGCAAGAACACCACGGAGGTCGGCAGGCAGCGGGGCTTCCAGGCAAAGCTCCTGTAAAGCAGCACGCATAGAAAAGATAAGAATGATTCTGATTCCAACTCCAAGCAGGTAGAGGCTTACCTCTAGAATTCACCCCTTCTCGTTACTAATCGTGCGGTTGGGCATCAATGAATGCCTGCTGCCTGGCTGTGTAGTTGCAGGATTCAGCTTAAAGGCGAAAAGGGTGCAGCGCGTCAGTGGCCTTCAGAAAACTAGCAGGCAGTCTAGAGTCTAGAAACCCTCGGCCAGGAGCCGCAGGGAGACCTGAAACCTGAGGCGAGCTAACGTTAGACACGGGCAGCCTGTTTCTTCAACCTTTGACCTCACGCAAGGAAGGGGCGTGTGCAGGCGCGGGCAACGGATATGCAGAAGCGGCAGGGCCATCACCTGGCTGTGTGCACTATCTTCTCAGCGACACCTCACAAGAGACCAAGCGCTCTGCATCTTTCATCTCCTCTTCATGGGACAACACTGAGTTTCAGAATTCTACCCAAGACGATTGTGGAGCCTGCATCATGATAGGTGTCGATGATTGGCTGCCTACAGGAGATGTCGTCCCTCTGGTACACAACATCTATCCAAAGCAAGCAAGGCAATCAAATGGTCTCCTGGCCGTCTAGAGCAAGCAATCTCAAGCGTCTGCAGTGTAGGAAGAGCCGCGGGCAGAAGTCATAGAGCTCAGGCCTTGAGATAGCAGGCGACTCCTTCACCACCAAAGGCAGGACAACAATGCAACTTTATACGTGCTCTCCTGCAGAGCACACGTTGCACTGCCGGCTGAGGGAAGTGGGGGCTTGGCGCGGCTTGGCGCTTGGGTGCAGGGAAAGCTGTTGGGCATACTTTGGCTATGGAAACTGCTTGAAAAAGCTTCCATGTATTGCAGGCAATGCCAGGGCACGGCCCGTAGACCTCATCACCAAGGATAGGGTGCCCCACGCTGGCCAAGTGGGCCCGAATCCTTGACAAGGCTGCTGCTCACATGAAGTGATGAGCCTGTCCAACTCCAAGCGTGCTTGAGACGCGAATGCTTGCTAGGAGGTGACATTACTTACTGATGCAAATGCCTTGAGCTGCAGCAACTTAATCAGCCATTGTGCTGGTTCCAATTATACCAGCATTGGATCCCAGATTCTGGTGCGTGCGGCCAGTCAACGGGCGAGCCTGCGAAGGCAAGAGAAAATTTCAGTGGCAGCTCATGGGCCTTTCTAAGTTCGGGCCCCCGCTTCTTGGGATAGAGATGGGCAGGCGGGCAGAGGTTTGGAGCTTCAGCCCCACAGATGAGATAAAAATGCGAGCGCTGGTGCGAGTCAACTGTGCAGATTCAGGACCCAAAGGGCAAGTACATAATTGCAGTATCCTTATTGATTCCTGAAGTTACTATCTAGCTGATGTTGTACAAGCTGCCAACCCTCCATTGCTGACACCGTGCCTAACATAATAGGCACTGATGCTGGAAAACAACTCACCCACATGCTTACCTGACCCACTCCCAGACAGTGCCTCCAAAAGCGTGAACGGCTCAGCCGCGTTCAGCAACCTAAGGGAGGAGCATGTGCGAAGGTTCGGTCCAGCAACATCTGAGGCTCCTGAAAACCGGCAACCCCGTGCCCCGAACCAGCACAGCTTCCTGAGATGCTTTGAAGGTGAAGCTGTTATCCTTGCAACGTTCAGCAAAGAATGCCTGACAGAGCACTCTAGCTCCCCAGCCTTTCCCTTGCATGCAACTTACCTGCAGCTCGCTCCAAACCGAGAACCGTGCGTTGGAGCTTGGAAGTGGGACAGGACTTGGTACCTTGCTGGCTCTCTCGCGCAGCAGCGACTCTGGCATTCAGCGAAGCTTTTAGCATACTACAGAACCGGTGATAAACAGGAAAGCTCTCCAGCACAGTGTCCTTATTTCTTTAGCGTGTCCCGAACCACGTGGCAAAATTCTACGTAACCCTGCTCGAGACATATTGCTTCAAGTGTGCAACGCTCAGAAACAAATGCCAACGAATCCTCAACCCTGAAAGAAGGAAATCCTTGAATCCTTGAGGTTGCAAACGCAGTGGCATCTCAAGTTCAACATCCGCTGGGACCTCGCCCTTGAAAGCAAAAACTACAAAATGTCGAATAGCGTTGGACCAATTCAAGAAACCTTGCGATCTTTACAGACCAAACACTTCAGCCACCAAAAACAGGCTAACAAGACCAATTACCAACAGGAGTAAGAAAAGCATGAAAATTGACAGCGGCACAATAAAATTGCAAACCACAGCCTCATTGACAAACCAAGCATATGCAGGACAAGTCTGTTTGCGTCACTACCGGCAATCTTTCGGAAGAAAAGAAAAGCAATCATGCTTGGGCCAGGTGTCTCCGTCTGTGCGGCGCGGCCAAGCGGGGACAGCTCCGCGCGGACGGATCCGGGGCCGCTGCGCACCACCTGCAGGGTCTCAAAATGTTTCGGGCCAACCGCCTGGGCTGAGGGTCCAAAATACGAGCCACTCAAAACTTGTGCATCCATCCCCTATGTGAGACGAGGGGGCTGATCCATACACTCTATGGATCGTAGTATAATATGTCGCTGTTTAATTCCCAGGTTCTGGAATGGGGTTATGGATCGAGCATACCCAATCTTTTTAGGAAACATCTTTGTCATCATCAGTTTAAGTAAGAGCACAAGCAAAAAATGCATGCATGCCGAAAATGGTAAGAACCCCTTGTCAGTGGACCCCGACATGAATCCATAAATTTTGGAAACCAGTACATGGATATCTCTTTTGCTGGCATCATCACCTCTCATGGCATGGCAGGTATTGCTGATGACTTATTCCCGAACATTAGGGACATTGGTCGATAAGCCTGCAGGTGGCTTCAAGCTGATTTGGGCATGAATCAGTCATAACAGCAGTCTTACATGGTGTAGGGCAGATTCCGCTATCAGCGTTGGTAAACCAGAAATGTGGACTGCAGCAGCCAGGGTGCCCGTAGTGGGCTAGTCACAGAGCCCGTTTCATTTGCCCGGCCAGCGCAAAGGCACCAGTATTCCTCCAAACTTGAGGGCTGTTCCATTGTAGTGTTTCCCATGCTCCAGCAACCCTTAATCTTATAGACTTCAAAATCCTGACGAGTGGCGGGCGAGCTGGCTACTGGAAAACCCAGAATGCACTGTTTTTGGAGGTTCAGGATACATACAACTAAGTCAGTCCGCTGACATGACCATAGTCCAGCTATAACTACTAATCCTTTCCCCCTAATGTTAAAGGGCTCCCCCCCTCCCCTAATGAAAATACTCGGAACCGTATGTAATTTTGGGGGGGTATTATCGTGCGACCCGAACATTCGGGAGGGTAGTCGAAATATGACACAAAAAAAAAACGTACAAAATTGGATTTCATCTTATAGGGATTATTTCAAATTAGGACCTTATTAGGAACTATTTCAAATTAGTGCCTTATAAGCGACTATTCCAAATTAGGGGGCTTCAAGGGACTATTTAGGACCTTAATAGCGACCGTTTCAAATTAGGGCCTTATAAGGGACTATTTCTAATTGGGGCCTTAGTATGGACTATTCCAAATCAGGGCCTTGGAGTCTGTTTCTGGAATTCTTCTATTCCTTTATGAAAGCCCTTCAAAAACAGTCAGAATCTAGGAACTCAAGGAGATCCCTATCCTTAAGACTCGTGCTAAACCCAACCCTAATTCATAGGATCCGAGCCACGATTAGCTTCAGTCTTGGCCGTTTTTAACAGAGTCTTGGGGAGGATTTCGGAATTTCAGCGAACCCGTATCTAATACAGGAATGGGTTAAGCGGAAAGGATTACTGACAGTGCTAGGCTATAACCCTAGCCCGAAACCCCAATCAAATCAACTCGGCCATAGCTACCCTGAACTTCTAAGCGGCTTAGTTTGTTCACTTACACTGGCGTCAGCTCTGGCTCCTTCTTCACAAGCCTCCCGGAGAACTGTGCACGCAGCCAGTGCGCTGCCTGACTCTAGGCTTTGGGGCCAGGGGCTTGGATTTAGGATTCTGCTTTATGTCAAATATGCTCCAGGGCTGTGATGAGCCCAACCTCCAGTAGTCGGATCAATCTTACTCTGAAATACACTGAGGTACTGCTGCCAAGGCACCAAAGTCTAGGGCATCCATTCATCATGGCTATCTAAGTGTGTGAGTCCAGGCTGCTGGTGCGTCGTCCCCGCCAATGGCAGCTGGAAGCACCTGGTTTCAACAACGCTCCAGGCAAGGTGTCAGCCAACAATGCATGTGCAAACGCTTTGCAGAGCCCATGGTGAGTCCAATCCCCACACGGTATGGGGTACACGCAACTTGTCATGAGCATCCGTTGCCAACAAAGAGGCAGGAGCTGCAGATGCCAGCTCTTCAGCAGCCCCTCCGAGCTCAAAGCCTGACTTCTTACCTATCCAACACTCCAACACCTCACAACTGCCCCCGCTCGAACAAACGCCCCACCCCCGAAGATCAATGATTTCCAGAATCCTGGCAAGTTCAGCTTGGAAACGCCCGATGTAGGCAGGTCGAGTCGAGAAACTGTAGCAAGCCTTTTGGTCAGGGCTGGCACCAAATGGTTTCTATTGTGGCTTGGAATGTCATCCAGCAAGAAGCCGTGGGCTCACAGAAAAGCCATGAGAGAAGGAACTGCAAACACTTGCAGCTCGTGCTTTCGCGTAGCGTTTAAAGCTTGAGGCTACACGGTCTAAAGCTGTGCTCATGTGTTTAGGGTGGTGAGCGCACAGGGTGCAGATGCTGTTGTCTGGGCCCCACGAATCCAAGGGGACTTTGAGTACATAGGTTCAGCCTAACTTGAAGGCTACCTGGCTCAACCAATCCGTCACCAGATCATATGAGCCGCAACACAAACCCCAAAGTGAAATGCTCTGCAGAGAGCAAGCGCATGGCGCGGGGTATCAGCTGCCCCTTCAATTTTTACAGGCAGGCATGTTTCGCAGAGTTCCGCTTCATTATCTTGTGCCCCCCCTTCTCTATACAACTGTTCAGAATTGCATACACGATCACCACATACTCCTCAAGATATCCTGCACGCATCCATGTTAATTTGGGAACGATGACGAAGCCTAGCTAGCAACATTGTCGTAGCTTCCAGAAGTACAGAGAAATACGTGAAGAAATCAGGCATGTGGCGGCATCGCCAGCTTTGAGGCCAAATCTGCAAGCACGTCTTCGGTGGACACTCCTCACGGGCCCAACAAATTTGGATTCATGCGCAATGGGCGTAATGCACAGCTCGTCAAGTTAGCTGCGCTTGCGGCAGCTTGAAAAAACTTGCGACTTGCAAGCCTTTCAGAACCGAGATTTCCGACAGAGCTTGGTGGCTATCAGTATCAGCACAAGTTGATGGACCGAGCTCGTGGGGAGGATCCGTGTATGCTCAAATAACCCCCGTTGACTCTCGTCACTCCCTCCTTCTTCCAGCAACACTCAGTCCTCCTGGCTTGGATACGGCGCACATCCCCGGCCAAGCGCCAAGCCAGTCCTGCGTCTCCCTTCTTACGATTAAATCTACGTGCCGCCATGTTCCTTAGCACTTGTTGATGGCCACAATCTGATGATGAAGAAGAGTAGAGGAAGAGAAAGAGGCGGAGCCCGCGATTGCAAGCTTTACGCTCCGCATTGAGCACCATGGCAAAGACAATGTGTGTTACGGTTTCACTGGAGTTCAACAAGTTGGGTACGGCGCGCAGGATAAGTTGGGAAATCTGAAGGCTGCTGACCCTGCGGCTTGCATTGCCAGGAGCTGATACAAAGAGGCGCCCAAAAGCACGCCACACGGGCAAACGGCAGCCTACTGCCCCTGGACGCCCCAGTCAGCACTTGCGCCGGGGGGGGGGGGGAAGAAAGCTTCGAAGCGGAAGGCAGCAGCAGGCTCGGGGCAGGCGCGCAGTATGCATGTGAAGGTACATTTTTTAGAAGTGTCGAGCGCATGGGTACCCGCGAGCATGAAACTGAGTGTGCAACCCGCTGCAAGATAACCCGAGCCGGCGCCGCTGCAGTTGCACATCCCAGCCTCTGCCAAAATACGCGATGAATCAGAAAACACGGCCTCCCTCCCCTCTTTCATCCGGGTGGGAGGGTGGGAAAATTTTCATGTGGCGTCTTGCGCCAAAATGGCCACGGGCTAAGGCCCTCCCACCTACCCAGCACACATCACTTGTTCTTAAACACATAAATGTGTTGCACAACAAGTTCACATGTGCTTGCAGGCCTTCCCACCCTCCATTGAGAGACATTCTTTTCTCCGATAGCTGCTGAAATCTCCATCGTCGTCCTCTCAGGCAACACCTGAGTGCGAGCAATGAACGAAGGAAATGGGAGGGAATCCTCCCCTCTTTCATCCATATATTTCCTTCCACTCTGGCTGATCAAGATGAATGACTGCCTTCATCCGCGGAAGACTCGTCACTGGACGCAAACGCTTCCTCCAAACTCGCGACTCTCTTGCTAAGAGCCTGCAGAGCGGGATCAACACCAGTGAGGATGTGCAGACGACGAGAAACAGAGACCAGTGGAGCCTCGCCCAAATAGGTCAAGATAGCATTGGAGCTCCACCGACTACGCAGGCCGATTGTAATTGGATCCAAGCCCAGAGAGGCAAGCATTCTTGCGCCTGTGATGCGACGGAGCAACGAAGGAGTGGCATATTTCATGTTGGGATCATCGAGTCTACTTAAAGCATCGCAACACTGGTTAGTGAACCCGGGGATGTGTTCGGTGACTTTGGGAGCAAAACAAGCGTTACCCAAATCAAGAGCGAACTCTCTGGCCATGATGGAGTTTCTCGATGAGCTTGTTTTGAGCCTTCCAAGGAGCACTAAGGCTCCAACGTTATCTGACCGGAGTGATAAAATCACCCGTTTTGTCATCCAATAAGGAGACCACGTTCTCAAGGCAACAAGGCCGCCCAAACACTCCAACGCTTGTTGACTTTCAGAATCCCCGACATGTAATCCCAGAAGCTCCACCTCAACAGCACGTGGAACATCATGAAAATACTCAGTGATCACATCATCAATCACTAAAACAGCTCCAAATCCGTAAGGGCTCGCGTCCCAAATGATGCACACCTGGGAGCCCCAGCCTTGAAACGCGTCCACTGTCCACGTCCTGACAAGGTGCTGTTTCAGGCTGTCAAAGAAAGCCATAAACCAAAGTAGCGAGGGTTCGATTTGTTTAGTCCACACACAGTTAAATGGCGCATTACTCTCCGTGAAGGTGTGCAGCGCAGCATGCAACTGTGACAGAAAGGGACGCCAAAGTGTAGATGACCGAAGCAATGCTCATAGCTTTGCCAATAAAGGTTCGAAGCTTGCGCTTAGGAACCACGTTTGACTCCAAAAAGTCCAAACAAAGCCTTTCCAGTTCCAGAATCTTCTCTTCGGGAATGGTGACTGAAACAGAGTCGGCGTTAATACAGATGAGCATGCCAATCCATTTGATTCGAGTTCCCCGAGTTGCTTTATGGGAAGCAACTGGAAAGCCAATCAACTCCCATGTGAGCAGGATGATTGCAAACAGGCGGTCAATCTGTGATTTGGTGCCCCTGGCCACAGACCAAGGATCGTCAATGTACACCTGCAAACGCGCATCTTGACGATGTGACTTGCGAGACAAATGGTCCCGTAGAAGCAAAGACTGAAGAAGCCTAGCCACGACAGCCATAATCGTGCAGAACGTCAGCGGGGCACCTCGGGATCCTTGCGCGGAACACCAGAAATCAGAAGCGACGTTCACTGGGCGAAAGTGGGATTAACCAAAATGCGTCAGTCACATCAGCCACCAGTTGCTCCACCATTTCACCGTCGGCCCTTGAAGACATCATGGCAAGAACATCATTGACCGCGTCTGTCAAACGTGGGAGAACTGAACGAAATTTCCTGGAGGTAGCTGCTGTGACAGATGACTGTTTGGCATCCAGAATAATCCGATGTTTCTCGACTTTCAACCCCTCAGGTGAAATTTTGGTTGTTGAGATGCATCCTAATCTGCTCAAAACCGGCTCTCCCCCTAGTGTTGTGCACTCATCCAGGGTATCAAAAGGTTGCAAATATCCTTTGTCAATGTAACCCTGGATGGCATGTTTGGCTGCTGGATTGGATTCAACACCCTCATAGTTTTCAAAGGTGTCAAAATCAGTGTAGAAATCATGTGCGTGAAGTATAGCCTCATCACCTTCAACTTCAGGCCAAATCCCTTTCAAATCTGCATGCTCCAGCAGTCCAGCGGGCGCGCCTGTGTCCAGCCAATCGGTGACATGTCTGGCAGGATCTGAAATGGCCTGAGTCCACAGCTTGAGAAAAGCAAACTTCAACGAGGTTTTGCACACGGCGTTTTGTACACCTAAATTGAAATCATTCCAGCAGCCATCCAAAATAGTGAGATTACAACTCCGCGCCAACAGCTTTGCAATGTCGACTCTGAGGGCGTCGACAAATTCAACAGGAATAGAAACACTACCTACCGGTTGCCCTATAGAGCCCAGGAGTGCAGCTTCAATCCTGGGATCCCGATCGAGGTACCCGTCAATCAAGTTTCTGACCTGTACCCCGATGTTAATGGCAACCTGGGATTGCATTACTGTGGCCCGCGGAGATCTGAGCCGTCCCACCCAGGTTGGCTCATCATCACGGAGCTCCCTGGGCGACTCCTGCGCTGTCAAACGTGCACGTTTAATTACGTGTGGCAGGCTTGAGTGTGTCTCTGAACTCAAATTCCTGGCACACTTCGCTCTCTCAGGACGTGCACTCAGGACCGACTGTGAAATGGCACGTGCAAGAGCAGCGTTCATTGCAGCAGGGTAATGCGCAGTGGACTTTGTTAGATAAGGACCCTGAGGCTCCCTGTCTCTCAGCATGGAGACATCCCAGTCCTTTCTCAATATGGGCATCTGCTTGCCCTTCAAAGGTGGATGCGGCCTGGTATGTACTTCGCCATTCCAGGGAACCACCCACTGGCACACTGCACAATGACATTCAGATTCAAACGCAGAAAGGTCAGGCGTGCCAAGGATTTCTGTAAGCTTCTCGAAGAAGCATCCGAACTGGCATTGAGGGAAGCTTTTAAAAGCCACCCCCCGTAGTTCAGAAAGCGACTGCATCTCACTCAAGTTGAACAACGACGGTTTACCAGGCTGCCTAGCAGGATTCTCAACGCCGAAGGGAACATGAACCTCCCAGCATATGGACGCCAGCTTGGCCACCATCACTGCAAACCAATTATGCTGCCGAACCACCAGCAAATGAGCAGGATCTAAATCAGCAAGACCATAGAGGCCCGGACCTTCAGCATCCCTCAATGGCGAGGGGCCAGACACTCCATCCCTAGCTGCCGAAAATGTCCTGCAAGGCGGCGACATGAAAACTGCACAATACACACCGGACCGTAGTCCAGCTTCTACATCTCGCCAAACCTGGTCATCAAGCAAATCTGTACTGGGTATTGCCTCGATGTCCAAGTTGATACACATGCATCCCGCAGTGACCCTGGGCGTTCCGGACCAGAGAACAAATAGAGAACCCGAGGAAGAACAGCCCCCTCCACCCGGCCCGCATCACCCGCGCCAGCCACTGCTGTAGACTCTACACATGACGGATCAAGTGAAACCTCCAAACGTGGCGGGAGTCAGTATGGGGAAGGACGGCCCTTGGATCCACGGCCCTTTCCCTTGTCGCCTTTAGGCTTTCCCTTACGAGAAGTCCACGACACCGACGGCATCTCTGAATGTGGGCACTTGTGGAGGGGATGTGAATCTAAACACCTCGAACACTGATGCGCCAAGTCCCGGCTGCGCCCACACCACCCTCCTTGAACGGTATCATTGCAGCTGCCATCCTGGTAGCCCGAACAAAGTCCATACCCTGTGCGGTTCTTGAGGTACTTGCCCTCGGCAACCTCATGATACCTGCCTGTGCGATTAGTATTGCGTGGCCTCACCTTCGATGATGGGTCCTCAACCGGCAACTTGTGGTCAATGGGCTCATTGCCACCCTTCCCAGCGCGAGCATCATCGCTTACGAGAGAACGAAGAGCAGATCTGTCGGTCATGACAATGAGGGCAGGCTCCATAAACTCCTCCGCCCAGAACTTGTCCCTATCCGCCAACACACGCAAGGCCTCGTTCCATGGGCGTTTTGCGTCAAATGGAGTGGTATTCCCTGCTGCCAAAGCAGCAGTGTGTGATAGCTTCAGTTCCATTCTAACCCACGGCCATTCTTCTAGCCTGGCACGGACCTCTGCTTGATACAAAAGCGCCCAGGTACGTTCACCATAGCGCTCTAGCATTCGCTCAACCCTTGCTTGGTATTGAAGCAGGGGCCCGAGGTCCAATGCGTCCAGCATGACCATCGCATTTCTGAAGACTGCGTAGCTAGCCTTCCACACACTGAGTGTGGATGGCCCAAAAATTTCTGATTGAACGAGTTCACCCGCCTTGTTCAAGACCAAGCCCGAAAACTTAAGTTTCTTCTTGATACGGGTTCCATACGGCCCAAATATCGCAAAGTCCACATAGGGGACTTGGTGTGTCTTCAAGAGAGAAGACAACGCTGCTAACTGCTCTGATGACGGCTCCTTGTCACTAGGCGGCCTTTGCCCTTTACCGAACAAGGTCTCATACCGTGCAAACATCACCAGCAGATCCGCTTCGCTAAGCATCTCAAATTCGGCTTCATCAATTTGAGATAACACCTGATTAAGCCTGAGCTTGCGAACAGCGACAGAAGAAGGCGCGGTACTTGAGGATGCCGGCATCTCCACCCCCATCTTACGACGGCAGATGCGCCCTATCAAACGGGCCATTCCACGTTCAGCAACACTTGGTGGCCTAGCTGAGGTGCTGACCCCATTGGCATCTACTGCTGTTGAAATTTCCCATGATGCGATGAAGCCATTGAACTCGCTTTCGCTGAAGGTAGCAATCAGAGCAGTGGAAGTGTCCGACTTCATTCCAAGCTGCCCCAGGAGAGCACCCCTGGCGGTTTTGATGTCTGCCTCCGTTCCCTGCAGCCCCACATGATCAGCCACCATCTCCAGTGTATCCAAACCCGCCAGGATGGTCTCATCAGGATCCCCCATGGTGCCGCCCAAACTCGTTGGGATCCCACCTAAAATAAAATTTTCATGTGGCGTCTTGCGCCAAAATGGCCACGGGCTAAGGCCCTCCCACCTACCCAGCACACATCACTTGTTCTTAAACACATAAATGTGTTGCACGAGCATGAAATTGAGTGTGCAACCCGCTGCAAGATAACCCGAGCCGGCGCCGCTGCAGTTGCACATCCCAGCCTCTGCCAAAATACGCGATGAATCAGAAAACACGGCCTCCACCGTGCCCAAGAGATGCCGAATGGCCGCCCGGTCGGGCATCAGCAGCCAAATTGGACCACATATTGGGGGTTCCCCCTTCCCGACACCTCCTTAGGACAGATCAGCATAGCTTGTTGCAAGACGAAAGCTTGGATGTAGATGATCTTACCACGCCTTGTGCGCAAAAACCAAAAAACACTGGACGCCAGACGCAAGCCCCAGCTCTGAAAGCGTGGAATGCATCCAATGCTGGAGGTCCACATCCCCATGTAGACGCGCTAAAACGTACCACGCGAAAACCTCCTACTTCGAAAGCGACATGCTGCACTATGACACTTTACAGAGGAGTCAAGAAAACACGCCATCTGGTATTGGAGATTACTAGAGGAGTTTTGAATAGTTTTGAGAAGTATGGGAACATATCGGAACTGTCTGTGTTGTATATTGTGGGATGTCGCTACAGAAGTTGGTCTGAAATATGACCTGTACGTCCGGATTTCGGCACAGCTCCGCGAAAAGGAGGCTCACGGGATCTCATGGGTACATGGCCAGTTTCCGACGAAACAAAGCGACCAAAACGGTTTTGAGTACTTTGCAGGTCATAGGACCCAGGAGCCCAAGAAACAAAGTAGGGATATGGCAAGTATGTACAGTAAGGCCTTGCCATGATACGTTACACAGATGGAGAAATCTAGGAAACGCAGCGTGGAGGCTGCCCAACTTTCAATGCTAAGGGATTCCTGCGCCCATTGGCCCTTTAAGCTCCTGTGTCACTGGGCCGACTCCCAGATTAGGCTGGGTGGTGTTCGCCAACCAGCGTCCGCGCATGTCAGTCAAGACCTGGCAGGGATGTGCCGCGATTCGAGCAGCTCCAATCCCAAATCAAGCCACATTGGACACGACAGTCTTAAAGATTCGATAAGAACATCTGGAACATTGACGTTGGGTTGACTGGACCAGCATTCTCCGCAGAGGCATGCCTTGACAGCCTCGCTGTGGCCCAAAGACCTTTGCAAAAAGGCTGGAATTTCTCAGCATGTGATCCAATACTCCACTTCCTAACCTTCTAGCATCTACCGCTTGGTTCCGTAGGCATGGTTCAGACATGTTCAGACAACATGATGCAGCCAGGCGGCTCACGAATGGGCTGTAACAGTGAGCCTGGTTGCCCAGCTTGCACTGCAGTGGCTTTTATCACAGTTTGACTTTGCAATCTGGCTCTGGAGCAATGAGTCAACAGTACCAAAAGCTGCATACCCCCAGTGTCAACCCTCGAATGGCTTAGAATGTGGATCTGGTCTGCATTAACGGACTGTGATCTCTGTCAAGCCCTGCCTACCATGATGCCGCTGGGCAGTACCTCTCTCTGGAGCAGGTCTCCTGCGGAAGCAAAGCAGAGTGAAGCATCGGATAACGTGAAACTGACCAGGTCGCAGCAGGTCTCAAGAAGAACATCAAAACATCTTTCTCATTAAGCTTCGCCCAGGCTCCCAGCAGTGCCAGCGCGGCCCCCCAAGGCCCCGTGGCGGCAGCGCTGCAGATCAGGCCCAAGGAAACATCCCCTGGGCCTTGGGTGCATGCGTCCGTCTAGATGTGGCACTCGCACTGCATCTAGCTCACTTTTGAACTTGATCTGGTTGAGGTTTGCTAGGGTCACTGACTCAAGTATATCTTCGGGACCTGCTTGCAACAGGCATCTGAAGGTATCATTGAACAAGATCCGCACTAAGCTTGCACATGACGACAGCTGCTGTCTGGCTAGGTTTTCAGGGGCTTCCGAAATGTGCCCATGGTTCAAATCCAGAAGCCAAATCTGTCCTTGCCTGGGAGGCTTCAGGTCTATATACGTCTTCTATGTTGGACAGCCTACTGAGGACTTGGGGATCAGGGTTGCTTTAAATGCAAGATGCTAGTCAGCGATACAAGGGCAAAACGCCAAGGCTCGTGGTTGCAGGTCCGTGATCATGGTAAAGAGGGATAAGGCCTGAACAGACATATAATGCTCTCGCAACCGTGGTAACAAAAGTTACGATGGCTGCACTATGCTGTACTGTACTTGCAGTAGTTGTTCATTGCAGTGATAACCGATAGCCGATAGCCACTTGCAGAGGTCATGGAGCCACAAAGCCATGTATGCCAACCGGGCATCCACCTTGACTTAACTGCCTGCGGGCCTGCCTCAGCCCAGCGCCCGCATCTTTCCTGGGCACCAGCTAGAGTCAGCTAGAGCGCTACAGGTGGGGGTTGGTCGGAGGCCTTAGTCATCATGTTGAAAGCGTGACAAAGCACCATACTAGAAATCATTGACTTGGGAAGCTGAAGGCTAGAAACTGCAATTCAGATTCAGGAGTTGTGATCGTCTTTTGCTTTAACGCCTTCGGGTTCTGCCATTTGAGGGCAGTAGACTCGATATTGCCGCGCCACCACCACCGACCCCAGCTTCACCACCACGACTTCAGCCTCCCTGATATCTGTATTGAGCTCAGGAATGATGCCAGCAGCACACATGATCACAATACCATGCAGCTGGCAATAAGTTGCCCTGAGTTGCATTCCATCCCGTTGAGACCCAGGGGCGCAGCAGCTAAGAGCTGCATTGAAGCTCACATCATCCGGACCTGATACACAACTCTCAGAGCACTGGCCAGCCATTGCGCATGCGGCGGGATGTACTAAGCGACTTCTGCAAAACATGAATGTGTCTTGGGGTGACTGGAGCACACTCCCGACATCATCAGTGAGAAAATGGGAACTAGTTCCAACAACCGCGTTCCTGCGGTATGGGTATTGCAGGTTCTCGGCATTCCGAGTTCGGGGGCAAGTGCAAAGATCGTTGGGGCCCAGAGGCTCGCAACGAGCATGAGGCCTCAACATCATGGACTCCTCCACTCGCAACTGCCACAGCATTATGCATATGGTTGCTTGCGTGTTCATGCATGCACAAGCGCACAGAAAGACCGCAAATGCCCAATCGGCACTTGTGCTCAAGTGTGGCTCGTGGTGCCCTCAAGCAACACTCCAGCAACCCGAAAGAATACTACGTGATCCCCCTCTGCATCCTCAAGCTTCAGGTGCAGTACTCGCCTCTACTGGGCTGTATATCCCTCGCCGCGGTGCGTATCTGCTGTCTTGTCATGGACTGCAGGAGAGCCAGGCCCGATTCCCACTCGCCACCTGAAGCTGGGTGCAGGTAAAGCAGTTAAAAAAATGTTCGTCCAGGGTAGGTGGCACTACAAAGTGCACAATAAACAAAAGGCGGCCACGTTAAGCGAAATTCGACGATAAGAGGAATCCATTACATCCACCGGACGGCAGCCGCTGTCCACACCCATACAGCACTGAGCTTTCCTCAGAGGCACCCTTGGCGCAGGCGCTCATTGCAGAGTCCAACGCAATGCGGTCCGGAGGGATGGAGCGCCTTGCTGGACGGTGTGTCGCTCATCCGCTCGCTGGTCAGATTTCTATGGACAGTCTTTCTCTTCAAGCACCTCCACTTAACTTCGCGAATCTACACTCAGGAGCATCGAGCAATGACAATCGCAGGTGGAACCAGCATGGCCAAATCCAGTTGTACCAGGGCTCTCGTCCATCACCCGCAGCAGCCTAGGATGCAAGGGCAAACCCCAGCTCCAGCCGTAACAGCCTATCTGCGCAGCTCATCTTTCTAGCTGACCGCAACATCCGTACTTTCTACGTTGTACGGTCAGTAATTCAATTGCATGTGCAGCTGGCTAGCACTCAAAGTTGAGTGAAGCACCAATTTGCTGGAACCCCAGCCCCTTCCAGCACACGAATGAATCCCGACAAAAAACACGGACGCAACACCAGGCCAAGCGTCTCAAGGCCCATCTGCCACTCTGAGCAGGCGCCGCAGGCACTGATCGCGGCACTGAAGCCTGCAGTGTTCAGGGTTTAGGGTCAAGCTTCCTGGCCGAGATCTTAATCATTTGAATTACGTGGCTTTTCTTCTTTGAGCATCTCTGATCCCTGGTCTTCAAGCAGAGACTTCAGGGTTCAACGTTGCGGGTGTTTGGTAACAAGGCTCTTGGGGGTCGAATCTCTTCATCCTGGCTTGAGCAAGCACTCGATGCCGGAGGAGGAGTGCGTGATAAGATATCAAGCTTCATGCCGTTTCTTGAGCTAGTCTGGTGGTGGCTGCGGCAGCTTTGGCGGCGGCGGTACTTAATGTGGAGGTACCAGAGGTGCTCATGGTCTTGGTGCGACAGAACCCCACTCCGCACCATGACCAGATCAGGAGCTATAGTTTGACAATGCGATACGATGCGAAAACTGCTACTTGAACAGAGACTGTGGCATTGATGGCGCCAGGGTAGTGCCAAATAACATTCCGCTGCCCTCCTGTGGAACCTCAAAGCTGCCGTGTGACTGACGACATCTGGTGACACGGCTTCAGATGCCTCTTCCAGCAGCATCCTGCACAGCTTCACTTCATTTCACTTCAACAGTCTGGCGGGCTGGTCTAGCAAGGCCTCTACCTGTGAACTGGAGTCTTAAAGCGTCACTCAGCAAGTTAACAAAGGCGCTTCTTGAGAAATGCCATTACAAAACAAGCACTCCAGAATTGCAAATCCTATCCTCCACGCTGGTAGAAGCAGTCGGCATACTGCACAATACCATTCACTCCCATTCACCCCCCGGGTCAAGGCCATCTGCCAGTGCCCCGCTCGCTCACAGGCACTGATGGCAGCATTGTAAGTGATAACCTTCACGTGTCAACTTAAGAGTCCCACGTCTGGGGCATTGCACTTGCTCCCACAGCCCCCTTTATGGCCTGATCGTCAACATGTCAGAAGCGCTCCACGACAAACGTATTGGCAAGATTCTGCTGAAGAATTCAGCTGCCAGCAATGCATCCTCATAAGACGAGTCACGTTTGGAGCTTCTGACATGTCCCTCATCGCGTCCAGCATTGCGCATGCCTTGGGGCCCAGCTTTAAGCAAATTCCAGCGGAAGTGTTGGTACCCGTGGCCACAGAAGATTCTAGCAACACTACAAGTGGGGACCTGTGGAGCTCTTTTCCTTTGGCAGTAATGCATCACCACGTGCCATACGAATGCGTCAGGATCACCGCCTCCCAGTAGGCAATGCGGCCACAGGCAGTAAGAGCCTCAGACATCTACTGACACATGGATAGCTGCTGGCAGAAGGCATGCTGAACAAACAATTGAGACATTAATGGTCATGCCTGGTCACTCCCTCTTCGTTCTCCAGACCCACATAGGACTCTTGGCCAGGGGGCTGCGCTGAAGCTGACCAGGGAAGGGTTAAGGCGCTTGGAAGGCATCTGCCAGAGCCTGGAGGAAGGAGGGTATGTGCTGCCTAAAGGCCTTTGGATGGAACTGAGAGGATCAGCCTGACTCCTCTGTTCTACAATAACAGCTTGGTAGCAAGAAGGATGATGTTGAGAATAGCTGACGCTGAACATAGACCGAATACGATGAGTTACCCCCCAGTCCAAGTACTGTAATCGGCTGCAACTTCCTGCTGTATCTCAACTGGCAAGATGCATCGCGAGAGAATGTTGCCACAACCTCGGGTAACAAGTTACAGCACTTTCTGAATACTGCACAAGCCATCACAAGCCTGAGTCTACATTGGCAAAAGCAACCCTCTGTGCACAGCGCATGCACCTGAGCCAGACTGCCACTGTCATGTTGGAACATGCACGCCCGAGTGTCGTAGCATGCCAAGGTGACCAGAGCTTTCAACTTGGCCGTTCGTCTATTACAAGCCTATCACATCAAATCATCATCCCTCGATAAGCTCCAACCTGAGGCATCACTGTAAGCCGGCCCAATTGCGGCCTCAGGCCCAGCGACGAGGTCTTCTCACAGGCACTGATGGCCGAGTTGTAAGAAACCACATCTGGGGCCAGCTTCCTGACGCAAAAACAATATGGAATAGTCGGGGTGTTGTTGCAGCGTGAAGATAATAAACTTGCTGCATGGATGACAGAGGGGCCATGTTCAAGTCAAAGATCCATGACTTGAGTGTACTGTTTGGTTTCTCACGTGCCGACAAGATGCTGTGCTGGCATTGTGAAGAGAAGGGACAGGGCAAGCTCCCACTGCCCACCCTTCCTCAGCTGGATACAGACCATGCGGAGAATATGCTGATGATGATGAAGCAGCAGCAGCAGCAGTAGCAGCAACCAATGTAGGAGACAAATGCGGATGATAAGCGCACTGGCATGAAAAACATGTCAATGTGCAAATCAAAGGCACAATCAGTGTCACCTTCACCCCATACTTTGTTAATGACCAAACATGCAAACAGAGGACGCTCTGTGTCCGATGTACTGACAAATGTTCATGCGTGAAACTTGCACAGCAGTATCCTAACATCCAAGCTTGAGCAGAATCTCCCCCCAGACTCACAGCCAAATCCTGCCTCAACACGTGTTCTGGATTCCTGATTGAAGATCTGCTGGAAACCTTCACTGGTTTCACAGAGGGTTCTTGGCGATTCGTGAACCTCTGCCTGCTCATTTGGTTCATTTGAAAGCCAAGGGGCTCACATGCAGAGATAAGGGTACCAAAGCTGATCTCGTTCCTGAAGTGTGCAAGTCTGCTGTACGATCTCATGTGACACCCTGGCAATGCCATGACTTCTCGTCAGCTGGCTCCAGACGTCAAACTCGCGCCCACTACTGGAGCTGATTCACGCATCTGCATGGTCCTATTCAATTCTACATGGTGCTACGGCATCAGTTACGTATCATGACCATGTTTTTGTTTCTGCACTGCAGCCACCCGCGGGAATGGCGCGAAGTGGGCGAACGCGAACTCCAAGAAAATGGCAAGACAAATGCAGCAGAAAACGCAGTCCTGCTGCTAAAAGCGCAAATAAACCCCAGAGTAGCAGTGCGCTGCTATCCAGACCAACTAGCCCCCAAGCAAAATTTAGTCAAAGTCAGCTGCCAGTAAGGATTATTTCGCTCAAGATACGGCCCCAGGCCGTGAGACAGCTGTCCGAAGACGTCCACCGACAGTGCCCAGGCAGCAGCCTTTCCGCAGGCATCCATGGCGACGTTGAAGGAGATCCTTTGAGACACTGGGATGTTCTAGGAATGCATGTTGCGGCAAAGTCACAAGGACAGGTTGCATCTTCTTGTCACTGCCTTCCTGCACCAAGCCTTAAATCTGGAGTTGCCCAAATCAATTGTCAGCCGTTCAGGGTGAGAATGCCAAGCATCCGATCCGGAGCAACCGCAGCACCCGGCATGGACCTTGGTACCGAAAAAAAGGAACGTTAGGACCAAGTCAGTGCGATACAACAGCTTTCACTGTACAGCAAGATACTGTAGGCCATGAATATCCCTAAATGCACCTTCAATGACCCCATCATAGCCCGATGACAGCACTCTGACCATCAAGCACAAATCCGCTGGCAAATGTGCTGGAACAAACGGTCTGATTACTGGGTTGTCTTGCTGTCTCAAGCCCGGTGCATAAGCATAATGACTCCAGCGCAGAATGACTGAGACCAAGAGGCTCCAACATCTCCAAAACCCGCTGCCACTCAGTCGCCACTGCACACCTCAGAGGACAGTGGGGCGTCTTCGCAAGACTGGCGGCAGCATAAGGCCTGAGTGCAGGGCGCCCCCAGCGCAGAGTTAAAAGACACCTGGTCCTTGGTCAAGGCAGGTCAAGGCATGGAATACAGGTGGGAATACAACTATTTGTTGGGATTGACTGCTGAGCATGCACACTGAGATAATGAAGTTTCGCTTTGGAGTTTGTAGCTTATCCCAATTCCCAGCTGGATAAATTCAATCCAGGCGCTTGCGGCAGCTGTAGCTCCGGCCTGCGCTTCTGATTCTGAGAGCAGGGCTCACAAATCACAGTAGGTGCACCATCCAAACCAGACCCACAGAAACATCAGAAACTCAAAGCCAATACTTGACTTCCTGCTGAACAGTCCATGAACAGCTTGCTCTTGAGCTAGGGAGTCTTGCAGGCATGGGGCATCTGAAAAAGGAGGTGGCAGGCGCGCTGCCAATGCCGTGCCCGCTTCCTCGGCGATTTCAAAACTCTGTGCAACTGAATGTCGACCAACGCCCCTGCTGTCCAAGCCAGAATGGCTTACTACGTATCATTCGGGGCCCGCAGCGACTACGCTCTGCTACTGCAAAGACGTCATGCAACCACGTCCTCTTCTTCTACGCAGGAAACAAGCTGGGGAATGCTGGTCCCTCTGTGAGGCCAAAGGATTTTTTTTCGAGAGTCAGAGCTCCAATGAGGGTGTTGGCTTGGACGGTGTGGACTTCACCGCCGCGGTCGCGGATGAACGCAAGCCTGAAGTCCATGCATCGGGAGTAGGAGAGAACGTGCTAAGTAAGGTAACCAGAAATTCTGCAGCTTGCAGAATTTAATAGCAGCGTACAAGTTTGAATAATGTTCCAGCCTAACCCGGGTATAGTACTACTTGCGTTGGATGTGCGGAGCTTTGTTTGGACCTGACCGTTATAGCTTCACCAGGAGAGAGAGACCCAAAATGGAAGTGGAAAACACGATAAAGCGTGCGAGTCGCAGCTCTTCGACAAGTGCTGGAGCTTCAGAAGCCAACCTGGGCATTAGGCTTCCCGCTTGTTATTTTGCATTCAGGCAGCGGAAAGTTTCAAACCAGCAAATTGCAGAAGCCTATAAAGTGTGAACATTGCTCTCAGTGGGACAAGATGGCAAAGCAGCTATGCCGTACCCAGACTTTCCTAACCTTGCCCATGCTTCAGACCTCACGTGAAAAGCCCTGAGACGTTCCCGTGTAGCATTGATGAAAGAGGTTTGAATCCTTAGCCCTGGACTTGCAAGCCACTTTCACATTGCCAAGGCTTCAAGGGGTGCTTGTAGGCTATGGCAGCCCCACCCGGCAAGAGCCATCTCGTGGACTCTCCTGCGTTGCCTGGCCAAGAAGCTTGCGCACCGCCGCTGTACCAAGCTTCGGGTCAGCTTCCCAGGTATCCGCCAGGCGCCGTAGACTTGCAGAGTTGCGCCCTGCACCAGATAGCCCCTACCTTGTGGCTAGTTACGCAAATGAGCATGTTTCAAGATGCTTCGTGAAGTTGTAGTACGGCCCAAGTCAAACGAAGCAGCCAACCAGCGAGGCTGGCCTTGTGGCATCATTGGTGAAGCTCCTTTGTCCGTTTGCCGAGCTAAGTCGACTTGGATGGGTTGTCAAGGCATTCCATGCGAGGCTGCACTCCCAGGATGAAGGGCGCATCACTCTTGAACCGGCTGGGCATTGCACTCGCGACAGTGACACAGCAACCTCTCCTGCTCTGTGGTCATGCGTGGCTTCTGGATACCTATTACACTGGATGGGTTTCCCTCTTGAAGAAATGGTGGTGTATCAAAGTAATTATGTGGTGCAGTGCTATGAAAAGATGCCTTGCAACCAATGTCCACCCTGAAGGTGATCCTGAAGGAACTTTGAGAGGGTTGGGCGGCTATGGCGCTGATGCTGGGGACTTGACGCCAGGATGATGTGGAAGCCTTCCCGAACAACTTGGACGAAGTGTTGCCTCAATGGCAAACTCGCATTTGTCACTGAGATGCCACCTGAATACACGATCTCCTCAACCATTGCTCATACATTCAGATGTTGAGTCGACAGAATTTCTTGCATTGCAGGCACATTAAGGCCTTCCCCGGACGACTTCTAACACTGGATCTCAGTGCCTGGCCATAGAATGTCGCGGGCATCCACCTTCCCTGCAGCCTTGGCCAAAGGCCTGGCGAGGCCTATCACCTGCAGACGCACACGACAAATCACTCAAAACATGAAACCTGCTTATTCTAGGGCGTATTCAGGTGCTGCACCGGCTTTCCGGCCCGCCGTCCACGCCTGCTCCTGCTCATCTGCCTGGAAGAGGTTTGGGACCTGCACCACGCGCAGGGGCTGACACACGCAGAAAAGTCCATCGTCTTCCTTCCCTGAATTTCAAAGGCTGGTGCTCCAGGATTGCAAATCACTTGAATTCACCTACGATTTTTCCACGGGTGCCTCGCCGGTGTTTAGGATGTTGTTGATATCCTCAAGGAAGGACTCCTGAAGTCAGCCACCCGTGGTGAAGTCTAAGGCCAAAGGAAAGCGGCAATGTTTGAAACCTCTACCACTCTGCCACCCACGAATGCGTATCATGATTGCCAATGTCAACAATTCACCAACTGGTACTTGAGGGGGGGTAGGGAAGCGGGTCTCCATAATGAACTCCAAAGCATCTAATCCCCTTTACAACAGAAAATGCCCCCTGACTGAATGCGGGTACCGGCATTCAGCGTTCTACCTGTAAGTTTCAAGCCAGAGCCACCGGAGTCCTTGACAATCTGCGTATCTGAGAAAAGGAATGCCAGGCCCTGGCCCCGAGATTTGGATTTGGGGCTTCCTAAAAACTAATGGTCGCTCTTTTATAAGGATTATGTTGGGGTCTATATTGGGGTCCCTCTATTAAAGGAAACTACCATTTGGGTGGTTCCATGAATAGGGGGCCCCAGTGTAGATCCCAATATGCTACATATAATCCTGACTATGGGGCTCCCAAAGGGAGGGCCCTAATTTATTGAAATCCGTCCACCTGCTGAACTACCTTGGTATTGTAGGGAGAATCTAACGGAAGTGGGGAACTCTACACGAAGATTACATTAAGGGCCTACATACCAGGACTTGGCAGGGTCAAACTAGGAACAAGGGCTCTGCTTGGAGAGCAAAGGATTGATAGCGAGGATGTGGTTGAGCCTCAGAGCTGGGTAAGCTTCTGCAGCTGAAGCGCATGGCAACTGCCAGCAAGCATCCCCCAACTGTTCATAATTCAGCAGAAAACGCCCCTAATGCGCACGCACATATCCCCAGAGTCCCTACGGGCCCCAGAGGGACCCCTTCCTGTGGTGCTGCACTCTGCACGCCTTCCCCTCGCTCTTCAACCTCAGCATCAAGCTTAAGGCTGGGATCCCTTGTGGTCGAACTCCTGAACTCTGCCTTTACTTCCTGGCGGTTAACAGGGAATACAGGAAGGAATAAAATCCCTAAATAATCGCTATATTATAGTATATCCACTTATTCCCTACTACCCCTCAGTAAGTTCAGGAGCTTCAGGGCTCCAGGCTGTTTTTTCTTTGGTTCTGAGGCTGCATCAACCCACTCAGGTTCAAAAAGTTACAACAAGGGAGGATGCAGCGTTGCTGCTGAGAGCTCTAGGCTCGAATCATCCGGCATACGAAGTGGTGTGGCAAGGCGACATGAATGGCTTTTCGTTCCTCGGTTGTCAACATCCTTCAGATCCTGTCTGGCAAGCGTTCACCCCCCTTTGACAGCCTAACGGACCAGAACCTCCCCAACCTACTCCCTGAGTTCAATTAGTCCAGTTCCGGGCCCAGTGACACATCCATCATCATTCGCTTGAGGTCGTCCCGGAAGTCATTGACACCTCACCAGCAGTCAAAGGCACTTGCAAACCTTGACATGCCTACCCAGAAAAGCTGGACCTGGAGTCTTCCAAGGTTCGATCGCGACAGATAGTTCTTAAACCCGAAAGAGGACAGCGTGCATTAGGGCTATGGGCATGCGGAGGACACGAAAGGGGGATGAGGTTTCGTGGCAAGCCAGTATTCTGTTTCTTCGGGCGCGAGTCCTTGAGCTAATGACACGAGTGCCTTCCCAGGCACGCACACGCTGTAACAGCGCTGTGCTTGACAAGGTTGCGCGCCAGCGCTGGAGGGTCTTGAAGTCTCGATGCGCCTCCTCCGCGCTTAGCCGAGTGGGCCCGACGCACTTACAGCTCAAGTCATTAACGGAAATCCGCGCAGCAAAACCTCGCCGAAGACGCCGGACGCCTTTTGGACAGGGCTGGGCAAAGATGAAGACATCGTCTCCGGCTGAGTCCTTCCCTTGAAGCTGGAAGTACTCCGGCGCGCCGCTCCTTTGCAGACGCCCCTTCAGAACTTGTAGGTCCACATCCTGGAACTCATCAGGGTTCTTGCGCATGTGTCGAAGAAGCTGTTTAAGGCTCGCTTGGCCGCCCAAGGCTGTCATGGCCTTCTCCAGTGCAGCTCTCCTGGCCCCTTGTGGAGCCCCACCCTGCCCCGCACCTGAACGTAAGTCACGAGTCTCTGGCAAGGGAGCTTCAGTCGGTGTTTGCTGAAGCTCTTCAACTACTTGCTTGATGTCCAGCCACACACTTCCATTAGCAGCAGACTCGATCTGCCCGACTTTGCGCTCGAATTCGGAAATCTGCTTCTCAATGAGCGACAGAACTGCCTCGATGTCGCAACAATGAAAACCCATAGACTGCCAGGCGCGCAGCGCTTTCAACAGCAGCCTTCGCGCAAGGCATTGCAACTTTGACACCTGGCGCTCTCCTGCTTCTACTTGTAGGAGACCCTTCTGCAAAGCCTCCTCGTCCCGGGCTGGCATCTTCCGCGGTGGCGACAGGGCTGCGGTGGCTGCGCAAAGCAAATCCAACAGCTCGGCTTGAGAAAGCTCTCTGTCGGAAGTACACAAGAGAGCTTTAGACTCGACGAGGCGCTGTACTCTGTCGACTTGCGCCATGTTTGCCCACTCGTTGATCTTTCTGAACAAGCTATGAAATGCTTGCTTCGATCCTGAGCGCAACGAGACACCACCGTCAGCACTGTCCCACAGCTGAAACAGAGGCTGATTGTTTTCAGTTGAAACTCCTCCCCCGTTGGAAGCAGCTACGCGCGCATTCTGTTCAGGCGGCGCGTTCGCAGCTTCGCTAGAGGATGTTTCTGGTCTGCGGCAACAGCGGAAGGTCTGCAGCCTCTCCAGCAAACTTCGGCTGGCTGCCTTCTGAGTCTCGCTGCCGGAGCTCCAGTCAGCACGTTTAAGGGCTGTTTGCACCTCTGGAAGCACCAGTTGCAGTCGCGAGGGTAGCAGGCCACTCCCAAGCAGACTCAGATATTTTCCCAGGAGCTTCTGCTCCGCCTCTCCAGGTACAGATTCCGGAGGCGCATAAGCAATCCATGCAGCCACGTGAGCGGCATGCTGCCGCGCAGCTGCTCTGCCAAAGCAGTCTGCTGCCCTGGAATACTTTTGGAGTACCATCCGCTTCTTGGAGCACCTGTGAAACTTTGCGGCATGTTGGTGCAGGCGACGGTCCATGCCCTGCTCGGCGAGGCAAGATGGGAGATGAAGTGGCTGAGACGCACTCGAGTTCGCGTAGTCAGACACACAAGCTGTAGAGCAGCTAAATGAGAACCTAGCGTTTGACCTTGATCAAGGTAAAGTTGTGCATGAAGTGCACAGGTAGCAGTTCTGACCGTTAGTAGGCAATTCCATCCCAGCTGAGCTTCTCGCCATAGGTACGAGTGATTTCGATGGAGCTGCACGCAAACTGCGGGGCGAAGGGCAGGCGAATTTGCAGCTACCCGCTGAAAACCGAACCTTTACAGACTGTTCACTAAATGGAGCAGGACACACTGGTGATCTTAAGTGGGTCGAATACGAAGTTGTATGTCCGCAGCACAAATGACGAGCGAGGTAATCCAATACAATTCTCAGATAGATCCTGCGTCTCGCTGCGTGTGAACTCCACTGTCTCTTACACACGGTTTGCAACTATGCAACTCAGACAGCTCTGTAGTGATTGTGTTTTCATTGCGCGCAAAGATCAGCTTCCGTCGCATCACAACCTGCCAGGGCCAGGAAAGTAATTGGAATCAAACTAAGTTTTCATAGAAGAGTCCCTTACATTGCCTTACATGGTGCACAGGAAATCGTGCATGCTGCATCCTGCATCTCACAAGCCACAGCAAAGGGGTTGTCGAGTCACGAAAATTCTGCAGACACCCAGCCTGCTTTCATGCAACTCTTGCTGCTCGTACTCCACCTCGACCTGTGACATTAGACAGGAACAAGCAGGAACTTCCATGCCTCAGACTTCGAGGAACCCACAGCACACCTTCCACGAAGAAGGCAAACCATGCCCTGCAGCCCTCAGTGTGAAGACACGGAAGCGGAAGCTCCAGCCACAGCTTCCCGGCGCCTCGACCCTGCGACGCGTCTTGCGCCGCTTCGTGCCTTTCGGTGGGGGCTTGCCTGCTTGTCATCGGAGGATTGTGCGTGTCTTCGGTTGAGAGCGACAGCCAGCAAACGGCGTCGTGCTTCTACGCAAATCACGTGGGCAACAACGTCTGCGGCCCAGTTGCTTTTTGCCAGGTCCTCAGAACTGCGCATCAACGAAAGAATGTCAGGTTTTGCTGTGCGTAGAAACGTGCTACAAAAGACAGCAAGGTAGCTTGGGACTGCCTGTTACTCCCACCCTAACTTTCGGAATTGGTTTCCTGTTCGAAGGCACAAGATGATGCACGCAGAGATGCATTTTGCATCATTTTGCTGTTCAGCTACGGCACTTCCACATCCACCTCCGGCATTTCCTCCTTCTGCTTTGGCCTGGGCTTGGCAAGGCTTTTTGCTGTCTTAGATTGGGAGTGCTTTCACGTGACCTGCCTCGCAAACAAAGGGCCGTAGATTCCAGCCCTCAGGCGATGCAGGAGTTCCTGCTGCTTCACGCAGGCTTCATCAGGTCCCTGGTTCTGTGAGGCTTAATATGGGAAACGCAGCCGGCATCCCATTTCGCCAAAATCTGGCTAGCACTGGCTAGCCCGTTCAGAAGCCCATAGGTGAGAAGCGCAGCGCCAAGGTGCTGTTCCTAACGCTAAGAAACTCCCGGAGTACGGGGAAGATACCAAGACAGGCTACAGTATGGGGTTTCTTTGGGAGAGGTGCATCGCTCCTGCGTGTGCAAGGCTTGCGTGCAAAGGGCTCAGTCCTCCCCGACGGACCGCTCAACCTGCGCCTGCTCTTCTGCTTTCTTCTCCCGCTTGCTTTCCCTGCAAGGGGCTGCTTCATACCAGCACGAACTGCATTTTGAGTCTTTGCAAGCTACTTCCAAACATGCTGCTCTATAGCTATGGACTGCATCCTTGAACAAACCCGCTTGCACACTGAGGCAGCGTGGCCCTCCAACCGCCATCTCCTCTCATCATTCTGAACCGCATGGCCCATTTCGCCTGCGCTCGGTCTTTTTCTTGACGACGCCCTAGGGATGCGAGGTGGACAGTGACACGGTTAATGTGGACCAACTCTGTCTGGGCCTGGCTGCACTTCCCCATGTTGCCCCCGGCCGCGGCGGAAGTATCAAAGGAACGGAAACCTGGGAGGTTCTTGGTCTTGAGATACCTTCTCTCATCAGACTAAGTCACAGCAACACTTACGGTAAAATCATGCCATTTCTCCAGCTTTGAAGCCTCTTGGCATCCGCTTCCCAACAAGTACCCAAGCTCATCCAAGCTCCTTTGTAGAGATGAATTCTGCAAGTCCACTTGTCATTTGCTAATGCGGCCTGAGTATGTCCTTCATCAAGGTACCGATTTGTCCTACTACTGCCAGATAGTAACATCAACCTACACCCTTGGAAAAGAAGCCTCACCTTCAGAATGTGAATGTTACAGCGTTCTACATTCGACTCTGCCCTGACCCTAAGACTTCCTCAAAACCATCAAGCATGAGGCAGGCAGCGGCGTTCCACTCGCTCAAGGACCTCCCGGGGAAAGCCTTGCAGCCGCGCTGTGGCCCTTGCAAGGGCGGCCTAGGGACAAAAGAACCAGGGTTGTGGTCATCAAATCAGATAGCCAGCTGATTGTATGCAGTCTTGGGGGTGCTCGGCACTGTTCCTCAACCCAAGGCACTGTCGCATCCTTGCACAGCTTCACCCCCTTCCACTTCGCTTGGCCAGCATCCTGGCGAGAAACGGAAGACGAGTTGGGTTGGAGCGGCTAGTCCAAACGCCCGTTCAAACAAAAAGGCCATCCCTTGCAAAAGCAACATTGTGAAAAGGACCCCCGATGATAGCATTTTTGCTCAATCCTACCGAAACAAGTCCCGCCTTCTGCTCGGGCGACTTGATGTACAAACCTGGAGGCGCTCACCGCCAACTGCAACTAGTCCGGCCCTGATACTGGCCAATTGGCTCTTTCCGAGGGGCACACGGTACGCGCCCTGAGATTTCCTTGGCTGAGACATATGTCGGAAAGCTAGACAACTGAGATCAGAAGATGGCCTTCAAACTTCGCCAAGCATCACCACAGTGGCGTAGCTGCCATTTGCTAGAGGACAGCTGCTGCGACAGCAGATGCCATCAACACTGTACTGATGGCCTCAGGCTTGAAGGTTGTGCGTAGGCACTCCGGTCAAGGTTATCATCTCTGCGTAAAGCCATACCAAAATGTCTCTGCTAGCGCTCCACGACCTGCTAGAGATCATCCAAAAGTTTGTTGCGTAGCCTTTTGAAGGGCGGCCTTGAGACCTCTGACATCTATCAAGCTATCAGCCCAAGGTGAGACTGAAGCAGGCTTGTGCGTGGGGTCTGAGAATGCCCTGGACTCCACTTCTGAGACTTGAGAACAACCTTCGCAGCATAGCAGTTAGTATAGCTTGCATCTTGTAATCGGGTTTTACGCCCGTCCTATCTCCGCATTGCCAAAGACAGACCTGCAAGAAGGATAAAGAAACGAATCAAACCCCGTGCAAACCAAGGCTGCAGCGGCACTGCGTTGCTTTGGGTTCGGTGCGCTGCACCTGACAAACTGAGGAGGGGGAACCCAAAGCAGGCCAGCCCAGACCGGGCTGTCAAAGCTAGGCCCCGCTGTTCAGGCACCAAACTTACCAACCTTCTGCGCACATCCACACAAAGCAAAGGCTGTTCAAGACACGGAGTGGCAAAAACTCAGCGAGCGTCAGCTAAGTTAGTTCGAGCCTTCCAGATTGGCCATACAGAGCTCTGCCTCTTACGCGGGGCTTGCACATGCTTGCATCCGGCCTGGTAGCTGCAGTACTCCTGTGTGAGTCGGCGCCATAAGCTCTCATCAAAAGCCATAGCTCCATGCGCGGGACACAGCCACACGGACAATATCAAACGACTGTGAATAGAAAAGGTTGCTCAAAATTCTTGGCGAATGCACTGGTCCCTTGAGAGCAAGTGCTTCGGCTTGCGGTGAACATGGGTTAAATACTTTGCAGGACAGGCAAGCTTTTTGATTCAACTTCGAGAATCAGTGCTCTGATCGCTTGTAATTATCTGTTGATTGCAGCGTCTGTGAATCCAGAGAAGTGGTTTTCAAGCCCGCGGATGCAGAGTCAGCAGTGCTGGGGGCAAAAGGATAGGAACCATGCACCATGGAAGGAAGCAGCCAGGTGATTTCAGGATGCTAGGTGCAAGAATGAGAGGAAGATGGTTTGTTCAGGGAACTTCAGAATGGCCGCTGAGATGTAGGAGCTAATTCTTCTCCGCCTATTAGACTCTGGTGGTCCACCAAAAGTATTCAATACGAGCTACAACAAGACAACCTGCAACCTCACCTCAATATGCAAGGGATGGAAGTGGGACCTCTGCCATGTGCGCGGCCATTCGTGCCAGACTCTTCCTGCCCACTCCGCTGACGCCCACTAAGAGGGCGTTACCTTCAGGCAGGTTGGCACAAGGGCCTTCTACTCCTGCTTCTGTTCATAGCAGTGGCTATCCTGTTCATACCGAATGTCTGCTGGCAAAGAGCCCGTTAGCAATATCTCCTTAGCGTTTCTACAACTGCCAGTTGCAGTCTGGCTGTTTGGATCGTGCTAGTTTGATGACTGCAATTCTTCTTCGGCATACGATTGGCGCATATTCTGTGTTTCGTCATGCACTCTCAAGACTTGGGAAACCAAGAATGGTTTGCTTCTGCGATGCAGAGACTTCAGTGTAATAACTGCGACCAGCAATGCTAAACTCTCCCACTGCCACTGCAGACATTGCACACCATGTCCGCCTCTCGGCTGTCGAATGATTCTCGCTGCACGTGCGAGGTGTTCTTGAGCGTCCTGTGCAGTCTCATTTGCTATGTGCCTCAAGTTGTGACAGCACCAAGTTGATACGTCTGCTCGTAGCTCCTTGAAGAACACCAGGTTCATCTTGCTTGGGTTCATGCCATTGTACTCCTCGGTGCAGAGACAGCGGACACCAGACATGGATCTAGCTGTTCAATATGGGCAATTACCCCCTTGAACTTGGAACATTCATTCGTCTGCGCACGCTTTGGAAGGGCGATAAAATCCAGACTACTGAAGTCTTCCTAGCCTGCTGAATCCTGGTTCGTGGGAAATGAATCGCAATGTCACTCCGGCCTCAAGCGCCTCCTCAAAAGTCAGCTGCGTTCGGACTGGATCGGTTGCTTGGACATACCTCAGCCAGAGCACCAAGGCATGCATCCTGTAAGGTCCACCCTGAATGCAGACTGGGCGCAGCAAGTTTAATAACCCCGAATAACACTGCAAACATCCAGCGCGTATTCACTGCAAGGGAATAGCACTATGCGTAAAAAGTGAGATTTCCCCGGCAAACTTCCGAGGGAACACCTAACACAGCTCGCCCGCTCTGGAGGGTCCGGCGGCTTCTCGTTGCGGTCAAAGAAGTCGCCGAACATCAAATCCGCGAAGCTGGCCAAAATGAGGTTTGCGTGTCTTTGGACTCCACTACGCGCATAATTTCCGTTCAGTGTCTTCCCTCAAGAGCATTACTATGACATGGAAAACAGAGCACCGCATATCTGAGAACTTCGTCATTCTGAGCCTGTATTGTGGCAGTTTCGAGCCTGTAGTGCTCTCCCCAACCCCATACCCAGCCAACTGTGCTTGCAAGCACGGTTTTCTTCTTTGCGGTCAGGCGCAGCTCGCCGTCGCTTTGCAGAGGGACTGCCGACGGCTTCATCATCCTCCCGAGGGGACCAGTCTGGCAGGTAATTAGTGTGATTTCATGCGTGGTTTTGGGGTCCCATACCAGGATCATAATCAGACTGCCAACCCACTTGAAATCTCCGCAGGTTCACTTTAATTGGCGGAGCGTTCCGAATAACAGCCCTTCCATCCTGCCTCACAAGCAACAGGCAGAAGTTCCAATGCTTCGGCACCTCGTCATGGCAAGATGATCACACCACAGACGCCTACATCTAGAGAGAGATCAGCGCGAAGAGTGTCGACTTGGCAAGAGGAAAGTACTGTCCGACCCTGAAGTCATAGCAATGGCAGCTCGGGAACCTCTGCTCAAAGGAAACACGCGTTACGACTTATTCCGGGGAAGTCATAACGTTCTGCTGCTTCCGCAGAGAAACGCGTGGGTTCGGGCATGTAGAATAACGATGGCACAAGTCCTGTTTGCTTGGAAATGCAAATGATTGCCTTCTTCCCCAGCGAAGTTCTTCTTGAAAACCTTTCAAAAAGAATGCCGTTACACCGTTATACCTGCTCCAAGGGATCCCGTTCTTTGAAAAGTCCGTTTGAGAAGCAAGACTCGGACCTGGCAGCTTCTCGCAGAAGCCATCGCTGCGCAAGAGCCGAGCCGCCTGCAAGCCCGAGCTAGAAACAGCCGTATGCTGGGATTGATTCTGGGCTGCTTGGATGAGGGGTTGCATCAGCATCAGAAAGTATTGCAGAAGTCTAGGATGACGGTCCAACGTTTGAGGGAACTCTGCTTCTCAAGACGCAGGGATTGCACACACACTGCAGGATGGCCGTCACTATGTCCTAGTACAAACCATACCAGCAACGCCATTGGTGCTACTGGTTGTGAGAAAAAACTCGCCGCTTGCGAATGCCAAGGCCTCTTGCAGCAGTGCTGGCAACTCTCCCGGAACCTATTCGCGTTGGCTATAGGCCGGCAGGAAGGTCTTAGGGACATGCGTATCCAGTTCTTGGAATTTCAGAGTTTTCTGGCCCCTCAAGTGTCGATAGCAGGTTTGAAGGCGTGGGTATTGTTATAGACCAGATGACCAGAGTTTTCCATCACTTTCAAACTTACTTTGCATGCTGGGATGGCAGCCTGTTACCTTGACTTCACCAAACTTCAAAAGCCTCCGCGCTCACTTCGGACAGGCGCAGGCGTTTGCTGGTCTCCTGCACAATCTTTTCAGGTTCGTGGGGTTGGTTCTTCTCATGATGATCGCTGTAATACTAGAATGTCGTTGTTGACTTCAATTCGACATGAAGAGGTTCGGGTAAGACAGGCCCCAAACGGCCTCCCACGCCATCAGAATCTCCACCTGCAAGCAGTGCTACTCTTGCTATCACAATCACAAACATAAAGCTTTCATAGGCGGGGCAAGTCATGCTAACTACTCCAGTGACTCCAGCGCTTAGCCCTCTAGCCTTTGCCTTCCAGCCAAGGCCAACGTCTTGCCAAGGCCCGGTGAGACCCGAGGCTGTAGTCCTAGGACTTGAGGCGCTTTCGCTATGCAAGTTTGACTCCTGGAACAAAGAGTTCGTAGGGACTGTATATCAATGGCTACTTTCACGCACGGCACCTTCAGCAAGCAGACCTGCACTTGCCAATTGCAGCACGCGTCTAAATCCATCATACCTAACCAACACCCCAGCAGACACGTGCAACCTCCACGGACAGGTCACTAAACTTGGAATGCCAGGCGAGACGCAGGAACTGTTTGATGTGCTCCGGATGCCATGTCAACAGGCCTTCCTGAGAGACGGCTGCATTTCCTACTTTGCTTCACACACTCAGTGACATCGTCGGCACGATTCTTGAATCAAATTTTGTCCAAGATGACACCCAAGCAGCGTACAACTTTCAAGTAACAACGTCACTGTGCTGGTCACGCAAGTCCGAGGAGCATAGCTGGTGACGTTCAAAGGATCCCCGACACAAAGGGCTGTGTGCGGCATGGCACCTGAACTGAGGCTGCAATCCTTGAGTCAAAAGCTGTGCTCACTTCTCGGATCAGGCACCGTTGAAAAGGAAGATGTCTCCCGGCCGGAGGAGGAACAGCTGCCTCAGTTAAAAAGCAGCTGAATGGTTACGGCAGGTCGCTGCAGGTTCAGCCTGTTGATGCTGATTGCGTCTAGGAGGCGAGCATAGCTGCAATGCCTGTCTGTGCTTCGGCACCAGAGGAGGGCCGAAGACTTCACCTTGAACTCGTCTTCACCATAACTTCTACCCAACTTGCACTGCTTGTTTCTTCTTGCCATACCCTGGCCTCCACTTCTACTGAACTGTTCAGCCCCAGACACCGTAGCAATTCTCGAGCGTCGCCTGGCCTTCCGGACCCAATGGCCAAGCTGCAAACAGCTTCCTGCTGGTTGACCAAAGAGCCAGACAGGGCTATCCCACGCTAGCGTCAAAGCGACAAGCTAATTCTCAAACGAGAGATCAAGCTGTTTTAGCAGAACTTGTGACCTCTCCGGACCACGAATTTGGACCGGCGTCAGGTGCTTTGGCTTGGTATACATGGGAGTCTGCCTGAATCATTGCTAATCCGAATGGCGAAAATCGAAACTGAAAAATACAACAATTGGATTCAAAACGAGGTAGGGGGCTTGTGATATACTGAACTTAAGACCACGTCAACAAAATCTTCCTAAGAACGTCAGTGCTCACTCTGCTAGATATGAATTTCTACAAACTCGATCATGCTTGCATCATTCAAAGCCCCCAACATGTACCCCAAACGCACAGGCACCAAAAAGCAAAGGGACCGAATATTCTGAGAAACCCCACACCAATGTCCATGCCAAAATGCGGACAAGCATCAGACCCTGCCACTGCTTACCCAGGTTGCTCTCAGGGCGCTGGTCCACGTGAAGGCCTAGAGCTGGGCTCTGCTTCGTAACCAAGCATGACCCATCAATGCCGCAATCTGTGAATCCATCACTCATCATCAAAGTCCTGGCTGGTCCTGATATTGAATATCTTCGGAACTCCTGCTCCTTTATGTACACCATGTGACAGCTCTACTAGCTTTTCTGCTGTGCCGCTCAGGAATGTTGAGCAACCTTGAAGCTGTTGTGTCCTGCACACGTCCACGAAGCGGCATGCTTGACGCCGCGCCTTTGCCACTGAATTCGCCTCCCACAAAAATCCCGTCGTCGTCCCGTCCAGAGATGGCGGTCCACCTTCCAAAGCACCAAGGAAATGGCTCACAGATGAGTCGCTTTGTCCATGCCCTCAGGACTTCTTCTCTCTTTAACAAATGCTGGGGCACCTTAGGGCACCATAGAGGGGCGGCGATGCAAGCTCATGCAGTCCTAAACATATATGAATGTAAATGGCCGTACAACAGAAAACGCATCTCACCCGCGAATAAGAAGATCCCTCTCCCAAAGCATAGTGTTACACCCAAGTTTGAACTCTTGACAATTCTACCAACCCTGCATCCGCGATGCCCTTGCCGCCTCACAATCTGGGCCAGGGCATCAACACTGTCTGCGACTCTGCGCCTTCATTGGTCATCAGGTTCTTGTCAGCTGACGCACTTGATACAGCAGAGCAAGCATACGGAGAATTGTGGAGGTCAATGGGCCAGTGTCTCATGCGCAGCCCTTCAAGAACTTCAGCTGCACAAATGAATAAGCCAGGCCTTGAGTTCCGAAGCTCACACAGGTACCTGGAAGTGCAAATGACAGAGGTCTGTTCATGTTGCCTACATGTGCTGTCAAGGACCGTGCCGTAGTCTTCTCAACATGTTGAGTACTTCAGAAGTTTTGCGTCGTCCTGAATGCTGAAGTTTGCTCTCGTAATGATTTACGCATATACATATATTTGCATCGAGGTTTCACAATATTTCAATGTTCTTAACATTCCCAATATTCATGATATTCTGACTATCTTGCCAGTATGCCGATGTGCCCATAACCCCACAAAGCTTCCAGCGTTCCAGCGGCTGTCTGTACTTCTAACTCACTAAGCTCTCGTAATGCCAATGATATTCTTCCTGTTCCTCATGCGTCAAAGAACTGCAAAAAATCCATAATCCACAAATTGTGTCCTTGAATGCAATGTACATTGTTTCCGTTTTCTGCTACAGGTGCTGCATCATAATATCATGAGACTTCACGATATAGTATTGCATAGAGAGACACATTGTTTGCTACTGACTTGGTGAGCCTTCAGATATGGGCTTCCCAGAGTTAGGGGAACTTCTGCTGGGGGTCCCCCAGAATATAGTATTTTGCGGTCCATATCAGGATCCCCTCAATTTTGGGAAGCTACCAAGAATCAGAATAGTTTCCATTTTCTTTTCCATTATCCCAATATATCCCCAACATACTATGAAATACACAGTCATCTGTCTTTGCGAGACGCGGGCGATGCACGGCGCTGTCTGCAGCGTTCAGCGCTTGGAAGGCGACCGCCTCGTCAAGGATGTGGTACCCTCTACTATTCTTTTTTTACTAGGAACCTAGAGCCGAGCCATAATACTGGTAACTCAGCCTTGAAAACCCGATTACAATCTCATTTTGTATTTCATGTTCCATGGTCTTTTGCATTTGATTCTCGTTGGACCCTTTTCCCTCCATCCTCAATAGTAGTTTTTGTTGTCTTGTCCATTGACCTAGATATGTCATCGCTATAAATTCCCTTCAGAATCCGCCGTCTTTTCCATTACCCTGTATGTCGCTATTGCACCCCTATGACGTTGTCTCCTATAGGCCTTCCCTACCTGTTGCATTGAACCTGCATATCTTTGATCTAGCCAAACACATTGTAGGACGAAAGCCACCTGGTTCTATATGGTTGCAAGACATGCGCAGCTGCCAATCACTGCAAGTGTAGGCAGCACAGTGAGCGGCGACCAGTACAAAAATCAATGACAAGCGTGCAACACACACTCACGGTCCTTCCTCCGCAATGAAGCGCGGTGGACGACGGCAGCCCTTGGTCTTTCACAGCACTACTACGAAAGGAGCTCGCAGCCGAAAAACATTGCGCGACACGGACTTCATGGCTTGCAGCTTATTGGATCGTCGAGGAAATTGTCTTCAGCAAAACTGCCACGCATGTGTCATGGCCTGTTAGGTCCAGAGGATCGCCTGGGTCATGGAATAGATCTGAAGAGTATCCGGTCAGGCGGCTCCAGCTCTTCAACTGGTGCCGCACTGTCATCAAAGGCCTCAAGGCGAAGCACGTCGTTCAATAGCGCAGCATAAACAAAACTGATGACTAGGATGGCTTAGCACGAATGATGCCACTCTTCGCACACACAGGCCCCTTAGTGCCATGCGCGGAGTGACCTAGAAACAAATAAGAATTGGACGAGTTCACCAACGCTACCTTCACATATAATGATCAAGAGCGCTGATCCTTCCATGCGATGGTATTGGAAAACCGGATTGCTAAGGCCACTAGCACGACTGCTGCAGAGCAGCCTGGTTGTCAGGCTGCTGCCACCACTGGCGGGCCAGCCTTTGGGCCTCGAGTGATTGGAAGTCTTTCTAATTAACACTGATGTGTTTGGACTTTGTCTGCCTTGGGACGGGCGCTTAATCCAAAGCTGTCGGGCTTAAAGCGGCCCGTGGATAGTTTCACGCCCGGCCACTCTGCTTTTGTCTGCATGCTTGCACCGTGACCACTGAATGACTTCAGCTGCCAAACAGGCAAAGCTAGCATCTCTCTTTCAGATGTGTGTCAAGATATTTTGCTACACAGCTTCGTCATCTTAGTGTCCCTTCTACATGAGGAAGCGCCTGTCAAGAGTAGCAAAGCCTGCAATGCAGCAAAATAGAAAACTCCGGCTTATGCTGCCTCGTCCATGGGTAGAACTTGCTGATCTTCTGCCCTCTTCAGCACATCATGCTGAAGCCGGGTGCATGGGTCCTCGCCTTAAAAAGGGACGATAAGATCATGCACATGTTGGCATCCCAACACATGCCTGACTGCTGGAACTCAAGCAGTCAGTGTAGACTGTACACCTGCGGACCAGTTCGGAGAACAGAGTTGGAACGTTGAGGTCTACCAAGGCCTGAAGCATCTGCAAGGCCAAGACACTCTCCAGATTGCCCTGAAAATCGTCGAGGTCAGCTCCAAGGCTCGTAAGCCTGCAGCCCGAGCTCATGCTCTGAAAAAACAAGCGGTAACAGACGCGCTTCATTGACACGGCAGAACGACGAAGGAAGCAGGAGACAAACCATTTGCACACAATGCAATGGCACAAAGCACATCTCAAGATTCCGACTATCTGGAAACATCACACCGATGACTAACTAATCAGCTGTCCAGCAGCAGTTCGCAAATCGTGCTCGCGCTTGCAAGTGCTGAGGTCAACCTCGAAGCATCCAACAAGGACAGAAAAGACAACCTACACCAAGAAAGCAATGCCATGATCAGGGCCGCTTGCAAGGAGCTGCATTTCAAACGAAACAGGACCCTGATAATTAGTTGCAACCCCGGCTTGCGCCTCTTGATCCAGCTTCCGGACTCTCGGCAAAGCAAGAGGATTTTTCAAGCAAGGTGTAACAATCCTTGAAGGTGTTACAAGCTACAGCGAATCGTCTCGGCACATGGCCGGGAGGGTTTGGTGAGAATGGCTCAGCATGCCAGAACGTCTTGGAGCCAGCGGCCCCACTTTTGGGCCCTGCTCCCACTTAAGCGGAGCATGCGACTGCAGCCGCAGACAGGTTGCCATCGGCAGCCAGCACCAAAGGCCTGAGCTCCTGATGGCAGGCCAGCATATTCAAGATCTGACAGCAAGGCTCGACCACCTGTTCGCGGGATCGATGTTCCCTGATCGCTCGTGCCAAGACTGCCGCACCACCGCAGTGCGCTATCTGGTGCCGATTTTTGTCGATGACTGAAAGCTTCAAGAGCACAGCACATGCTCCCCCTAACAGCTCTGGAGCGCACAAATTCTTGGCTAAGAATGCCAAGACCCGCGAGGCACCATTGGCAGCTGTAGCACGATCCACGGACTTCTCATGAAAAGTGAGGCTGCGGAGCGTTTCCAGGACTGGCAGTAGCAAGTAAGTTGCTTCGTGCGGGTGCGTCTCCAGCACATGGAGGATGAGCTCCACGCCACCCAGGTCGGCCACCTTGGCCTCAGGGCCCGCGTCTTTGAGAATCAAGCTCTCTAAGGCTCTGCACGCCTGAGAGCAGACTTCCGGATTAGAGCTGTGTTTGTCCAGGAGATTTATTAGCCGATGGATTCCGTTGCATTGGACGTCTGCACACCCGCCTGTGAGCTCCTCAGGAGACTCCTCTTGGGCAGCTTCTTCGGCCGCACTCTCCCCAATGACTGCCACTACTTCGCTTTCCGCCATTGTGCCGGGCAATGGTGTTGCATGAAGCTTACCCAAAGCCTGTGCCAACTGTTCCTCCAGCGCCTTAAAATGGGCATTTGCGTGACAAACCAAAGCTGTTGATTTCTCCTCCGCTGCAGCAGCCCGAGCGTTTGCTTCTGCAATGGCAGCTTCGGCCTTCTGCTCTACTGCACGGGCACGGGCGTGTGCTTCTGCAATGGCGGCTGCGGCTCTCTCCTCTGCAGCATCTGCTTGAGCATTCGCCCAAAATGGCAACCCTGGCCTTTTGCTCTGCTGCATCTGCACGAGTGTTTGCCTGCTCAAGAAGAAGTTCGAACTCGGCAAAATCCTTAAACACTTCCAGAGACTTAGCTGCGGAAGAATCCTCGCTCACCGACCAGGCAGTCTCGTCCTTTCCTTCCGTTCCCGCTGCCAGCAACGCTGGCACTGTTGCCGCTGTGTGCTTGCGGGCGAAGCGGTCGCCGTAGATGTTCGGGGGAGCAATCAGACAAGCCAAGGGTGACGTTTCTTGTGCATTCTCGGTCTTTGTGGCAGGCTTGAAGCCCATTGAAGGCGGGGGTGGCAGTGATGACTCCTCCTCTTCCAGATGTTCCTTACCTCTCTCGCGCCAGCGGCCTCTCTCTTTGTCGAAATACATGGAACTCGGAGCGCTCGGGAGCTTCACATGGTGCACCGTCGGCTCGTTTCCATCTTTCTTGAAAAATCGGCTGAACAGCAGCATTACAGGCAAATCTCAGCGTGGCAAAGCAGTCTGGGATGCCCGAATGCTTGAGTCAGAGAAAGCAACGGGATGAGGCATTTATGTACGCATGCTGCTTGACTGAGAGATCCAGTTCACTGTCAAACACGGATCTTCGCATTGAAGGCTTCCAGAATCAACACTAGCATTAAGCAAGGGGTGCGAACTCTCTGGCCAATCAGAGTGGGAGATCACGGTATCTGCCTGCTTGAAAGGCATGGAGCAAGCGGAAGTACAAGCGAGAGGTAAGTTCTCAATGAGCCTTCGGTTGAAGCTACATTCGCCAGGAATCTCAGAACCAGACCGAAAAGAAACCCTGCAACTCGTTGCAGCACGGAACAACTTGTAATGCTCTTACACCTGGCTTGGCCCTGCCTTGCAGGCAACGCGCCCTTCAGGTCCAGGCCAAGCCTTCGCTGCTTGGAGCTATGCTGGGCTTTGGTTAGCTGAGACTGGAGGAATGGAAAAAAAGGAAACCACTATAATGGGTTAAAGTTGGACTGCTATAAGGATCCATTCATGCATTCCTAGCTAACCAAAGGCCAGTATGGGC